AAAACCTTCGTCCCAGAAGAGCAACAACTTATTTATGCAGTTTGCATTCTGACAATTATAGTATAAAAGATAACAGCAAATGAATGAGTTACTTCATCACCACACTCACTTTGAAGGAAGCATCCATAAATTTGAATACATTAAATTGATAAATGACTACGCATAGTACGTCACAATATCAAGAAAATGGTGATGCCCATGTCATGCTGAGAAACTGTACATTATGCTAAGATAATCATGCTTTATACTTCTCATACACTTTGGTGGTAAATCATATGTACTAGAATTGAATAAATTTGCTTTTATATTTATAACATGTTTTATGGCATTCAAGCTAGATGACCTTTCATTGATATCATTTGTAATGAATATGGAAATGTGATCTTTCTAAAAATACACACACAACACAAAAATATATTAGCATTTCTTTATTTTTTTGTTTTTTTTACCTTTGGCGGAAGTCTAAAAAATCCAGAAGGGGTTTTGAGAAGAGAGGGGAAAAAATTCAATCATGCACTTCCTTAGAAAATACCAGAAATCTATCCCTATCCCTACAATATATGATTAATTCTATTTCTATGGAATTAAAGATAAATTAGGTAAAAAGCTTGAATTGGGTAATTATGGACTTTGGGTGGAAGCAGAAAGTTCGAGATAGAGATATTGAAAGTTTAATAAATATCGGATAAAGAAAATGAAAGTTGAATGTACGAATATTTGATATCCTCTAGGGATTCTCATCATGGTAACATTATACATGTGACTTTATGAGATCATATAGGGAGAACTCTCATTGATTTCATTTATACCAAAATTACTCAAAGTTTCCATTTTCTCCATTTTTTTGAAGAAACATACCCTTTTTTCACAGAAGATGTGTAATATGCATTAATCATCACAATGAAAAACACAAATGAGAATTCTCCATATGTGACATCACACATCATGAGTAAAACTGCAAATGGGACTTTTCACATATTATTACCAGTGATCCAAATTCCAATCATTCGTAATTTTCTCTTTTCTTTTCCGGTTTTCGCAAACTTTTACTAATCCACTTGTCTCATGTTGTCTACATGTTTTTTTCCACTTGTGAAATTTCGCAATGCAGGGTTATTTCCCATGATAATAAACACTTCAATATTTTAGCCATCATGACTTAAAGGAAAACTGATGGAATTCCATACAATTGCAAAACAACAGCACTAAATTAACAAAGAGATGTATGCCTCTTACGGAGAAACCATCCAATTTACACAATTTTAAACTACCGGTACTTTGATATTATGAAAAACGATTGTGAATTATCTGTAATTCTTGAGAATGGCTGCTAGTGCCTTTAATCAAAAAATTTCCCTTTTCTGCTTTCCACTGACCACAACAAAGTTCCCCTTCATTGGGCTGCATAATTTGAGGAAATATATAAATCAATATCGTTTTAGCTCTTGAGATCAATTTCTTGTAAGAAAAATGTAATGCATCCGGGGAAGGCGGTTTTTCAACAAAGCACTAAGTTAGTCAAAATTTTAATCATTAACTTCGATATTGAAAGCGGAATTATATGCTAAGATATTAAATATGCGAGGCTTGAACTATTACGCAATACTAACAATAGTGTGTTATTTTCTAATTATTACAAATGGATATCAAGAACAAAACCAATCGCAAAATGGCAATGGATGGTAGCATGATGTACAATGTACATACTGTTCAAAAGGCTGTCTATTAACCAATCAGAATCGTTGTTTCAAATTTAACTTAAATCAGAACTTAGGACAGTTTTATGAAAAAACCAATAGTTTCAACCTTCCTGTCAGAACATGATACACAACATTCATTAATGCGTTTGTATGACCATGATAACACCCGTTTAGGGCCGGAAGGGTGTTAAATGTGTGTTAAAAGTATTTGAATTAACACTCTCCTTCTTTTTTCTTCTTTTGTATATATTGTGCAATAGCCAGTTCAGGTACCAACAGATAATTGTTGACAACTTACACCAGTATTCTCTGGAAGGAGAGCCCTAAATAGACCAATTAAATTGGTTCGCTTCTGCTCAGATGATGTGATGTTGTGATGATGATGATGATGATGATGATGATGGGATGTGATGTGATGTGATCTATCCACAAAAACACGTAACATAACAGATGGTCTTACTTTCATTTTTTGAAATATGTGTAAATCCCTGTTTTAATGGTATACAAACCCACAGTGACATTCTCAAAAGTATCCATGCAGATACAGACTTTTGCCTTGATTTTCCTACACTTCCCTGCTCATCGACTATTTTAATATTCTTTATCAAAATGATTAGGCAGATATCATTTAGTTGTCGTCTTGAGCTTATCCGTCACTTACCACAGCTAAAAATTACCTTAAACTCTTTGCATCCGCAAACGTTATGCCAAGTAGAAGCACAAAAAAGGGAAATAAAAACATTGTAAAAAAGATTATTTTAACATGTCTACATGCTAAATCTATTGTCAAAATGTTGACACTGTAAAGTGAAATCCCCTTCTAAGTTATAAAGAGATCTAAAAGAAAACAAATTACATTGTACGCTCTCCAAAGTTGGTACTAATTACTTTGAAATCCCCGGAAAATGATATCAAAGACATCCAAATATCATGATGTAAAATGGAGAACGTGCAATGTTATTTGATTAATTTACAACAAATTAAACTATCATCATTTCTGAAAGTTAACTACATTTGAATTATCATTCATATTAAAAATTTTAAAGTTCTATTTTCATATATAGGTGAAATTCAAGGTTCATCAAAATTATAACTTTCCTAACCTTCATTCGATTTTTGTCTTACTTCACTGACGTGTAGTTTCTCTGTATTTTCTCTCTTTTTCAATCAACCTCACGTCAGGTTGAACTTCCCTTAATATCAAATTCATTATTATGTTGTGTTATGTTGAAAACACATACCTTCCCGGACATTCCACAACACTAACATAACATAAACACATATCATACATTCCCGGACCTTCAAACACATGAACAACAAAAACTTAATTCAGGTTCAAGAAACTGTGCCAAATCATGATAATGGTAATTGGTATTTACCTTTTAATATTTAGTCAGTTTTTCGAGAGAGGTACATTATAAATATACGCCATAAAATTGTAAAGTTACAAGAACAAAGTAAGGATGTGAGTCATCAATGAGACACAGTTTCATATCATCACTGCAGGGGAATTCAAAGTGTGAGTTGCTCCATGCTGACAATTTCAAAACTTTTTGAGGAAATGGTCATCTTGACTTCCTTGCCAAGTTCACCAACCTCTAAGTTGATGTAAAGTACCTCTTAACTGGCAGACAACCACACCTTACGCATGCTCTCAAAGGCTTAAAGCAGTTTACATGAGCGGATTCTTTTATCTCATTAATTTAAGTAATTGTGTATTACCCGAGGCTACAGACATACGTACCTACCAGAGCTATCTCCTTACGCAACACTTGAGAATTCCTGGGGAATCCCCTCTCTAGTCTTGGAGATACAGACTCATATATATATATATATCTATATATTACCTCTCTGATGTTGAGTCTCAGTTTAACTTGTTCCACATGCAAAGATGTATCAACAGTTCCTTTAATTCTTGAATATAAATCCAAAGACCAAAAGGATGTTTTTTTTATTTTGACCCTGTCAAATTTTCCTGTGGCTAGCATCCAAGAACATCAATTATCTTAAGAGTTACGGTAAAAAGATCCCCTTTTCCGCTAACGGTGTTATGGTTGCGGTATCCAAGATACCAGGATACAAAGGGGCAAGCAAGCATCACACAAAGTAACGATGCATGCCAAAAGAACATTTTCTTTTTAAAGTTCTTCCTTTTCCCCTTGGGCAAATATTCCAGTACTCCATAAATCAAAATCACAAATGACCTTAGAAATCACCCAGTCTAATCCTTCACTGATTTACTTATTTATTTATTTATTTCTAATATTTTGACAGGGTAGCCCATTCACCAACAGTAGTGGTCTTCCATGGGGCCCTGAATGAACATATTTACATCGTTTATAACATTTATACAGAACAGTTGATCAGGATTTGTAAGATTCAACTGCTGTCTCATGGTATATTCTAGAAAGTTTGATAAAAATTTCCCTTCCTTCAGGCTTGTTCAAATTCGACTCAGCAGATGACAGCGTTTGTTTTACGAATTCTGCTTTAAATATCTGTATCTTATAACACAGAGATAGTGAGGGAACATAGGACATCCGTTGCATGCAGTTATTTCTTTCATCACCACTTGCCATTCAGTTACATGTAGAAAAACGAAGAAGAAAACAAAAACGCAGTATACCGATGTCGAAAGTGAACAGGCCATACTCCATGTGGATCTTCCTGAGCTTAATGGATCATTGAATGTATATTATCTGTTTTGTGTTCCTCTCCTTAGGAGAGAAATAAAGTAATATAAGTAGTTTTATAGCGTGAAAATGTTCATCTGAACATACCCACATGATTTATAGATAACATGCAAGTAACTGGTGAATATAGAACATGATCTCAAAGGACTGTGGAGAAAGAACATTTCAATTGACCATTTGTGCATCCAATATTGCAACGTATGAACATTATACAATGACATGTTACGTAACACAAAAGGGTCTTGCAATTGTCCTGAAGTTGATTTCTGGAAAGATTTTGCAATAATACTATAATTACTAATAAATATCTCTAAAATTAAAAAAATGAATTTGCTGAATTTGCATTAGACATGTAATGGTTGAATTCAAGGTATGCTGAATCTGAACGATGAAAAAAAGATGAAACATTCATAATGTGAAAGAGGATGTCATTTAAGACACATTTCTGCAAGGATTTTCAAAACAAATGTATTTGAAGTCGAATATTGATGAAAGAATACAAAATTTAGGATTCTTGCGTACAGCAGAAAACCCTAATTATGTATTCATTTAACAATATTTGTCTTCAAACACACTTTTGGGGAGACATCTTTGCAGAAGTGTGTCTTAAATGACACATTCTTTCACATTATGAAACTATTTAAGTGAAATTTTGCCATCAAATTTTTGGCAAATTTGGGGCCCCCCAACACTTTAGAGGGGCTTTAATTTTCTATCAATATGTGACCTGTTTAATAATATCTAGACTACAGTAACTTTTGTGATATCATATCACAGGAATATTAAGTCAATGAGGACAGATTCCCTACTCCAAGGAAACATGCTGAGAATGCATCTCTTGAACGCTGAGAGTGCCTCAAGGTGGCCCAGTTAAAGCCAGGGTAGTCGTGGGGCACCCTGAAAACCATCATCATTTGTAAACACATATTCAAAACTGTCAGAGGCTATTGAAACGGCTCATTCCAAATTGATAATATGCTCAGTTAGTGTTTCTAAAACATGGCAATTTTTCTGGAATTGGGCGATATGCTCAGGAACCATTTCTGGCGAGGGGCACTTTTCTGGAAATGTTTGAGGAGAATACTCAAAGAATGAAATAAACTTTTTACAGAAGATCCATGAATATCAATTTGAAAACCTAATAAACCTACATGATGAGTCTGAATCATGACTGGCAGTTGAGCTTTCTAGGGGTCATGAACTCTTTGAGGAGGTCAGAGGTCACGGTCTTTCTCCTCTCCTGGATTTCTGCCACCATCTTCTGGAGAATGGTGATCAATTCTTTCTTGATTTCACCCGTCAACATACGACCACTGCTGTACTCCTGCAGGTGAGAAAAAAAATGATGACATGATTTAAAGTGACTCTGGGGATTCCTATTGCATCACACTGCGCTTAAACCAGACTTGGTGGAATTACCAATTCATGTGTGCACAAAATGACAGTGGCCCACTTGGCAAAAATAGCAAAATCGAACAGGTCACTTCTACACAAATTTACCGGTAGCTCATAATAATAATAATGATACTCATTTTTTATATAGCGCTTATTAGAATCACTAAGCTCATGAAAGTGAAGTTCATTTTGAGTGGTTGATAATACCTGTTATTGTGTAAATTCACCAATGGTGTGAATTCCCCATGGCCTCAAGAAGTGGGCGATTTCCAGTGATGACTCAACTGTTGCATCACTACTTTTTTACCAAACTAGTTTTAATCATATTCTGAGAATCAGACATTCCTTTTTTCCAACTGTCATCAACTTCTAAACTATCCCTTTTAATAACTTTTCTAAACATCTCTTTGCTGCAAATCACCTTTTCACATGAAAAAGAAAGTTATTGAACACCACATCCCAAAATCAAATCATAGAACTCATTCTACCATCTAACTCAAGTAGGATATCCTCTTCTATGACTTAATGTTGCCAGGAATGTTAGGTTTCATAAAGAATGATGTTAACACAAAACTAACATGGTGTATGATGTGCAATAAATTTCATTAGGCCTCTTGATTGCTTTAAATGGAAAGTCCACTCTCACTTCATGTGATTAAATGCATGAATATTAAAAATTATGACCAATAAAGGTTGGAGAAAAATCTGATGAAAATAACAAGCTCAGTTTTAAAGTGTAAAGGATCACTATGTAATCAAATTGACAACTCTGTGATATATTTACCTAGCAACTCTAATTTTGTTTGGCTTAAGTTAACCATTCTCATCAATGTCCGATTTCTTAAGTCTGGAGGTTGTTTTTTTTTCACATCAGAAGATCTTTAATACCCTATTTCAATGATATATTTTGGAAACATATTCATTAAAAAAAATTCTTTAGTACAAAACAAATGGGGAGTAGCAAATAAAGTGTAATACAGTTAAAAACTCCTGTTTACTTTCTTATTTTTCAATAGATTTCTCTCAAATGTTCACAACTCTGTTTCTACCACATTTTCTCTCTTTTTTTTCTTCTTCAAAATTTACATCAGAGTGGAATTCCCCTTGAAAATAGGATATGAGTGGGTAGGAAATGGCTAGACAATCACTTATTTCCTTCCTGAGACTAACATAGCTGACTGCACTATGTGTATGGTCTACAGGAAAAGCTAGTTCCGACACCTCGCAGGTTGACACGATTAATGTTCCCATCGCATGCAAGGATGATATTTAATCATCGGATCAAAACTGAGATTCAGACTGCCATGAGAATAAATTGATTTGCAGTGGGCGGAACAATAGGCATCTCATAGTTGAGTTAATGTTACAAGCAGTGGCATAGCTACAGGGTCGGACACATGGAGCAAGTGCCCCCCCCCCCCCCCCCCGTCCCCCTACCATTACATGGCAAAAACGAGGGAAAAAAGGAGAAAAAGAGAGGGGGAAAAGGGGAATGGGGGAAAGGACCTTCAAAGTGAGTCATAGCAACCCCGTCCCACACCCTCCTGATCAATGGCTGAATGGCCATTTGATTTGAATTTCATCTACCAAATAAGAAGACTGTTGCCCCCCCCCCCCCCCCCCCTCTCTCAAGATGCTGGTACCTCTTAAAGGGCAAGTCTAAACCATTTGCAAGTTGAATTGAATAAATAGAGAAACAGATGAAATTTTAAATGTTTTCCACATTTGATTTGTCTCTATTTATTCAAATCGACTTGAAATTGAGCTGGACTTGAGCTGGTTACAAGCAACTCCTCATTCATTATACATATGTACTGATAGTCATGAGTTGGTCTAGTGATCAATTCTCTGGTACGTCTAAACAACGACCAAAAGTTCTACCTTGAGTTGTCACGTTTTAGTGGTGACCTCAAAGGTCTGCTCTGAAACTTAAATAATCGGACCTGATAGATACTTCTATGTAAAACCCTTATAACACATATATGGACGAACAACATGTTCCGCTTTGCAAAGTATTTTATAAACCAAGATTCAGCAAAATAGCCTTAAATTTGGGGAGAATCTGCATTGGATATATAGAGCTGGAACTGAAGTTTTACACTAGACATTTGCTACATCACTCAATGGAAAAGGACTTTAAAGCAGAGCTTATCATACCTTTGAAAGATCATTTGTTTTCATAATGCAATATCAAAGGACTCCCATAAGAGGAGAAGACAATATGTATACAATGAATAGGTACTTCCGAAAAATTTCAAAATTGGTCACTTTTTGGGGAATATGCAAAGGACTCTTTTCCCCCAAATTGATGCCCATTTACAATAATACAAACATATGACAGGAAAAATAACAGGCCTAGTGGTTAGAAATGGCCCTTAGTTGTCATATCATTGAGGCTATTTTTGTATAATACAGACATATGACAGGAAAAATAACAGGCTTAGTGGTTAGAAATGGTCCTTGTTTGTCGAATCAAGTGGGCATGTCACATGACCCCTGGATTTCTGTGGCAATCTGGAGCAAACTTTGGGGGCTGAAAGCGTACAATGTCATTCATTTCATGCTAAAGTTTACAATATCTTTCTTCTACTTCTGAAAGACTTTACAATGACACTCTTTTTGTCCTGAAAGTTTAAAGCATCACTGTTTTTGTGCTGAAAGTTTAAAATGTCACTCTTTGAACGAGCAGTATTGACCACTAACTGCCACATACAAATTTGCTTATATCTATTTGCACAATTTCAACACTGCCCTCACAAGCTGAAAAACAACTCTTATGAACTGCTCTCCAGTAATTTTACAATATCACTCTTTGCCCAGCCATATTTACTACTAAGTGCCACATACAAATTTGCTCATATCCAATTTGCACAATTTCAACACTGCCCTCGAGCTGAAAATCAGCTCTGATGAACTGCTTTCCAGTATGACTATTCATCTAGTCCATATTGATGTTTTGCACAATTGAATGATTCGTGACAGAGGTTTTTCATAACCAATGGTTTAAATATCCATGCATGTGTATCCATGCATGTCCTTAAGTCAAATAAGCAGGTAATAAATAAGCAGTTATGTACACTATTTTAAGCCTATTTTAGTCCATGTTAACCCATGGTCTAATCTGTGAATTAATAAAAACCTCCTATATGCATTCGGGCCAAGGTATATACCTTGCAGTCAAATAGCCTTCTCTTCACTCCTAGTCTACATATTGATATCTTCTTCCTTACCTCTCTGAACTCAGCTAATCTGTCATCATCTTCTAGGAAGAACGTGAGATACTGGTAGGCGATATCTACATCACAGTTACCCCCATCTCTTTCCCCCACCAATCATACACCCCAAATACCCTTCTCTCCACTCCTAGTCTACGTATTGATATCTTCTTCCTTACCTCTTTGAACTCGGCTAATCTGTCATCATCTTCTAAGAAGAACGTGAGATACTGGTATGCGATATCTACATCACAATTTCCTCCTTTCTCTCTGTGCTCCTCCACAGATGTTCCACCACCAGAGAAGGCATATTTGTTGATCTATACAGGATAGAGTGAGTGAGAGAGAGAGAGAGAGAAAATAACTAAGATGTATTACTAAGGAGTTGCTTAGCAACAAGGAAATCATTTATAAATAGATATATAAATAGATCAAAATCAACATATAAAGTGTCCCCTTCTTTTCTCCTTGTGCTACTCTATTGACACTCTCACACCGGAGAATGCATACTTTTAATCTGTACAGGAGAATGATACAGACAGAGAAAGAGAGAGGAGGGAGGAGAGAGAAAGAAATTCATTAAGATGTGTTCAGGAGAGGTTGCTTAAAAGCAAGTAAATCATTTATGAATAGATATAAATAGATTAAAGGTATATCAACATCACAGTTAGCATAATTTTACAATAATACAAATTAATGCACTTTACAAGCTAAAACATAAGCTTGTTTGTCACGCATGCAAGTTTGCACAAAACAATAGGCACCGACTGATGGAAAGATTGCTTTATGCAACACAATGGCTTTGCAATATGACCCATTTCAGTCTTGATTAGCTCCATGACATCCCTTTTTACGACAGTATATACTAATCTCCGACAGGAAACAGTTACATATTCTTTAAATCTTTGGTATATTTATCTCATGATAGATAAAATATGGGATCGAGACTATTTGGGAGGCTTCAAGAGCGTTAAGTTGTGTAACAAAAATAACATAGTCCCAAGAATACACACATGGACAATGGATAACTTATTTCTTTTGAAACTTTCTTTTATCATTTCATTTTTGTTTTCTGATGCAAATCATGTCCTTACCTTTGTTTTAATCTGTTTTGGTGTATCTGTGAGAAAGATGGATGAGTTGGGATCACTGGCACTCATCTTGGTCTGTGCCCCCTGGAGGGCTGGGAAGAACGTGGAGTGGATAAGGGCTGGTTTGGGGTATCCTAGGCGGGGTGCAACATCCCTCGTCATCCTGAAGTAGGGATCCTGCAGGAGTGAGAGAAAACATGAAGAATCAGGAATGAAGAAGTGATGGATGTCACGGAGTATATTAAAAAAAGGAAATTGTCTCTTGTAAAAAACTTCATATCTCCTTGTTGTACATGAATTCCTTTGCCTACAATTTTCAGAAATCACCGCCAAAGTAACTTCTAGTTATTCTAACACACTGGAGTGATATGCTTGAACTAAAATTTGTTGATTTCACACTGGTGTAAAAGTGTATGGAAAATCACAAAAAACAAGTTAACTTCTCTGAAAGTTGATGACGTAACTATATTTGTACTTACTCTTTATTATGTGAAGTGTTTAATTCTCCCCCCCCCCCCCCCCCCCTCTCACTCTCTCTCTCTCTCTGTCTTTCTCTCTCTCTCTCTCTCTCTCTCTCTCTCTCTGTGTGTGTCTCTCTCTCTCTTTCTCTCTCTCTCTCTCTTCATTGCTCTTACTTGCCCTTCTCCCTCACTCCTTCCCTCCCTGTTCCTCTCTCCATCTTCCATAGTGTATTTTCTTACCTGATCTATTGCACATGGAATGAGACATGGGATATCCTTCTTTGTCCCAAATATCGCTGGGAATGAATTACTAAATGATGGCGAGGCTTGAACTGCTGGAAAGCTGATTTTACCTTTAAGACAATTGAGAAAAGGATCAAAATTGATTGCATACATATAAAAGTGGTAAGGCTTCTTTTTATTTACTATTTGAAAATAATATCTTGATTGTTTAATCTCATCATTCACAATTCAACATTTGTGTTTACAAGTTATCTTTGCATCAGTTGCACAAATAACAAAATAAATTTTTCTCATAGTTTGACAAACAATGAAAGGAAAAAGTCAACTGAGTAAAAGATAAAAGTGGAATTAATTAAAATCAATGTTATGTATTTTTCATTACACTCTTTCACAAGCATTTCCTTATTTAACACAAAGTATAAAACCATACACAAACAAGAAGCAGGATTTGATGCAAAATTTGGAGTAGGCCTACTTGTTTTTGGTTATGGAATATATTGTGCAATTTTCAGCACCCTGTATGAATGTATAAAAAAACTTCTATTTTTCTTTATCAAGAAACCTTTTGGGCAATACAGCCATTGAATAGTGTGGAAGAAGCCAAATGTGAAACAGGCTGGTAAAAAATTACTAGAAATTGGACAAACTGGATTAAAGTAATTAATATTTTTAAGCTGAGATCATTAATGTGAATCGCTTAAGTGGCAATCATAACACAGGCAACTAATATTCTTCTTACCTATACAATCACTGTCTCCAAAACCAAAGATACCCTTGACCTGGTTGTATGTTACACACTTCTGTACTTTCAACATGTTACGGTAGAACTCTGGACATGATCTAAAAAAAAATTTAAAAAGAATTTCATAAAAAGGCAAATGAAGTCATAATAGGAGAAGCAACATGAACAACCTAATTAGAGGCAGGCTTAGCGATGTCTTGCAGCACCCCGGTTTAAAGATGCTTTACAGCAAACCCTACACCCCAACCACAAGGGAATTTGCACTTTGCATTTATAAGTTCATACTCCTTCCTTGTTCCAATTTTACAGGCTTGAATTGTTCTATTTTTAAAAACCTGTTTCATACTTAACTCGAGATGGTTCAAAATATAACTCCCATGGATATCTAAAAAAGGAAAATGTAATCGTCTCCAACACGATAATGATGGGAGATTAAGAGAATATAAAGGTCAGGCACAATCTGCTGATTTAAAATCAAAATTGTGCAGATCGGATTACCTTTTTCTTGCTAAATCATCTATTGAACTTTTCCAGGTTTTGTCAGATCCCCAAGACAGTTTAGGAACCCTGTCACATTTGAATGAACCTTAAATAATAATAGAAATGTTTTTGAGATACTCACGCAATATAATTCATGTCTGAGAAGATGAAAGTCTTGTTGACATCAAATCCAAGGGCGATGATGTCCTTGGCGTTCTCGTAGGCCAGCTTATTGGCCTCCTCAGCCTTGAGGTCCTTCCACAAGAACTTCTCATCATCGGTCAGCTGAATGACCAGAGGTACGTCAAACACATCCTGAAGCCACCTGTGGTGAGAAGGAGAGAGAGGATATAGTTTAGTTCAGGAAGATTTGCAATAGCACAATTATTTGCATGGATTTTAATGTTCCAAAGGAGCCAAACAGAAACTAAAGCTGATAACAAGAGGGATGTCACCTGAACAAACTATAACATAGTAGACATTTGACCACAAGATAAAATAAATATTAGACATGACTTTGCGTCAAGTAGCTTGATAATAAGTACGGTGGCACGTAATAGGTAAAAACGTTTAGTGGTATAGGTAAATTAAAAACAGTGATCTGAATGCCTTGACAGTTTTTTGGTCATATCGGGCTAATAAATGTAGAAGTTCCAAGTTCCATGTCCCTATCGATTTAGTTCTGCCCATATGCAATCAAATTAAGGTTTGCATTTTGGTTTACGAATACATCTTTATGTGCCACTACTCTTTTGCCATTCAGCTACCTAAATCTTCATAATTTGTCATGACTGAAGGGAAGAGAATTTATATTCTGAGGAGGATCTGGGCAAGAAATCCAGCTTTATACAGAAAGAAATTTCATGTGAATTGTGAATAAATGGATGACACATCATAGATACACCACTATGTTACGCCATGGGAAGCACTCGTTGCGCCAAAGGCATGATGACCTATGAAAATGGCCTTTAAAGCGAGGCAGCAATTGTGCATATGGTTGACAACGAAAACTGATCAATATATCATAATATTTCATACTCACTTGGTGAAGATGAAGGGAATAAGATGACCGACATGCATAGATGTTGAAGAGGGACCTCTACTACCGGTGTAGAGAAAGAAAGGCTTCTTGGCTTCGTAGCGTGTTAGGATCAGGTGGAGATCTCTGTATAAACAAAGAAAAAAAGACGATTGTGCAAATTATTCACCTTTAACAGTAATATCAACAATTTCTTGCAAAAACAGGTTTAAAATTGACAAAGCATATTCATACAAGGAATAGCAAAGTGTCCACAAAAACACTGCTTATTGATCAGGAATCCTGGGAGGGGTGTGGCAGGCAGGTTAATTTGGTCTATTTTTAATCCTTTTTTTTTGAGGGAGACACTAATGTTTCCACAAATTACGAGGACATTGCTAAAGAGGCCAAATTTTTAAAGGGCATGACTCTCACATCATTTTTTTTTTCTTGATTGCCAGCCAGACTTGTACAAAGTCACCATAGCAGGAAGAGAGTAGCTTTCAGATTTTCCTTTTTTTGTAATACTTGTAAAGAGCTTTTGATCCAATATTTTTCACACTGTATTTTCTGATACTGTACATGAACATATCACACTTCACTTGGATTAGTGACTTCATGCAAATTGCTGGAGCTACTATTGTCCAGTAATTACTCACCTTTGAGAGAAGAAGATTCCTCTCCTGAGGAAGTGATGTGGCTTGTGACCCGTTATCTTCTCAAATCTCTCCAGTAATGCATCGTCTATCTTGGTGCTCCCAAATCTAACTGTCCATCACACAACGACATAAAGAACTGTGGTAAATATCAAAGACTTAAAAATCTAGACTAGTTGAATACACAGATCTCTAACAAATGCTTATTCAATTTGATTCAGTTATTATTACTGTCATCTGAGATGTCTTTCATTAAGATTCTTTTTTTGTTGATAGTCCATACTTAATTTTATTTGATCACTAGAATACAAAACTAAAATTGTCACTTTAAATAAAAATATCCCCCCCCCCCCATCCCTACTCTACAGAACAAGAAGAAAAGATTTCCCATATTGGCCAAGTTTCATATTGATGAGAATTCCAAATTGAAAACATTTATCATGTAACTTGTTTAACCACTTCTTTGCCATAAGAGTAATCATAAATGAATTTTTTAAGTCATATTTTCTAGTGGGATTCTTTGTTTTGTTGTTAAAATAGGTATTTTGAGTATTGATATGAGAGAAAAAAAATACTTCAAAATACATGTATCAAATGCCATTTCAGAAATATTTTTAAAAGACTATTCAAAATCCAACATATATTCCTCCTCCTCCTCCTCCTCCTCCTCCTCCTCCTCCTCCTCCTCCTCCTCCTCCTCCTCCTCCTCCTCCATCCTCCTCCTCCTCCTCCTCCTCCTCCTCCTCCTCCTCCTCCTCCTCCTCCTCCTCCTCAACATCACCCATCCCATACATAAAGGAAATGTTATAAACTTACCGATGAGTTTGTCATAGTCTATTCCTTTGCTGGATGATGTGGCTACAGTCCATGGATCAACCACGTCCTCCTTGTCCCCATCCTCTGCGGCATTGTTCTGCTCGGAAGCCTGGCTTGTCTCACCTACTTTCAAATCTTCCATCTTGGCATTTACTGCTTCTGTCTCACCAGACATCTCAATACTAGATGTAGATGATAAACAAAGACCTGTTTTGTTTAAATAATCTTGTACTGCCAGAAAATAAGTTGTATCATAATATTAAGTCATTATAATTCTAGAACGAAACCTATTTTTTGCCTGAGTCCCACAACCTACCATTTGATAAGGATTGAAACTAAAACAGCAGAAAGTCATTATAAGATTGAGTTTTTACAGTTGAAAATTGCATTCTCTGGGCAAAGCATAAACCTTAGCTTTGAACCATTCTCACAGTGCAAAGTGAGAGAACATCTAAACAGTTGTATCTTAAAATACAATGTTATTAAACATGTAATTCTACATAAACACAGTATGCAATTCTCAAGTCCCCCCCCCCCCCCCCACAGCATTTCTTTGGTTGATGGCTTGATATTCAGTATGCTTGCAGACAACCTGATGTCAACATCTCAGGCAAACCTCTCTTACTCAAAGTCACAAACTAAGAGTGAAATGTTAAATATGACAGGAAATGCCACTATTTCACTAGCTACGATTTACATTTTGTGAAAGTAAACAACCTGAAAAGATGAGACCAGCTTGCTGTATGGTGGCTTCCAAGACACACTCTATTTATATATCAGAAGTGAAGTCTAACAGTAACAACAATATATGATGAAATCGGTGGAAAGAGCTAGCTAGACCCTATAATTGTAATTGTTTCATTTGTTTGCATCAATAATCTAGCTGCAGTGGTATGAATATGAATATGATGAATTGGAAGGAAAGCCTTTTGTTTGGAGAATAGATAATAAATGTGATGACAAGGAAAACATAAAATGCTTCTAAATTAACTAGTGGTGTACGGAGCCCCGGAAGTGACATGGAGAAATTTTTTTTTTCTCGTTTTCCTGAGATAAATTCTCGTTTTCCTGAGATAATTTTTCGTTTTCCTGAGATAATTCCCGTTTTCCTGAGATAAATTCTCGTTTTCCTGAGATAATTTTTCGTTTTCCTGAGATAAATTCTCGTTTTCCTGAGATAATATTTCGTTTTCCTGAGATAATTCCCGTTTTCCTGAGATAAATTCTCGTTTTCCTGAGATAATATTTCGTTTTCCTGAGATAAATTCTCGTTTTCCTGAGATAAATTCTCGTTTTCCTGAGATAATATTTCGTTTTCCTGAGATAATTCCCGTTTTCCTGAGATAAATTCTCGTTTTCCTGAGATAATATTTCGTTTTCCTGAGATAAATTCTCGTTTTCCTGAGATAAATTCTCGTTTTCCTGAGATAATTTTTCGTTTTCCTGAGATAATTCCCGTTTTCCTGAGATAAATTCTCGTTTTCCTGAGATAAATTCTCGTTTTCCTGAGACAATATTTCGTTTTCCTGAGATAAATTCTCGTTTTCCTGAGATAATATTTCGTTTTCCTGAGATAATTCCCGTTTTCCTGAGATAAATTCTCGTTTTCCTGAGATAATTTTTTCGTTTTCCTGAGATAAATTCTCGTTTTCCTGAGATAATATTTCGTTTTCCTGAGATAATTCCCGTTTTCCTGAGATAAATTCTCGTTTTCCTGAGATAATTTTTCGTTTTCCTGAGATAAATTCTCGTTTTCCTGAGATAATATTTCGTTTTCCTGAGATAATTCCCGTTTTCCTGAGATAAATTCTCGTTTTCCTGAGATAATATTTCGTTTTCCTGAGATAAATTCTCGTTTTCCTGAGATAATATTTCGTTTTCCTGAGATAAATTCTCGTTTTCCTGAGATAATATTCGTTTTCCTGAGATAAATTCTCGTTTTCCTGAGATAATATTTCGTTTTCCTGAGATAATTCCCGTTTTCCTGAGATAAATTCTCGTTTTCCTGAGATAATATTTCGTTTTCCTGAGATAAATTCTCGTTTTCCTGAGATAAATTCTCGTTTTCCTGAGATAATATTTCGTTTTCCTGAGATAATTCCCGTTTTCCTGAGATAAATTCTCGTTTTCCTGAGATAATATTTCGTTTTCCTGAGATAAATTCTCGTTTTCCTGAGATAAATTCTCGTTTTCCTGAGATAATTTTTCGTTTTCCTGAGATAATTCCCGTTTTCCTGAGATAAATTCTCGTTTTCCTGAGATAAATTCTCGTTTTCCTGAGACAATATTTCGTTTTCCTGAGATAAATTCTCGTTTTCCTGAGATAATATTTCGTTTTCCTGAGATAATTCCCGTTTTCCTGAGATAAATTCTCGTTTTCCTGAGATAATTTTTCGTTTTCCTGAGATAAATTCTCGTTTTCCTGAGATATATTTCGTTTTCCTGAGATAATTCCCGTTTTCCTGAGATAAATTCTTGTTTTCCTGAGATAATTTTTCGTTTTCCTGAGATAAATTCTCGTTTTCCTGAGATAATATTTCGTTTTCCTGAGATAATTCCCGTTTTCCTGAGATAAATTCTCGTTTTCCTGAGATAATATTTCGTTTTCCTGAGATAAATTCTCGTTTTCCTGAGATAATATTTCGTTTTCCTGAGATAAATTCTCGTTTTCCTGAGATAATTTTTCGTTTTCCTGAGATAAATTCTCGTTTTCCTGAGATAATATTTCGTTTTCCTGAGATAATTCCCGTTTTCCTGAGATAAATTCTCGTTTTCCTGAGATAATATTTCGTTTTCCTGAGATAAATTCTCGTTTTCCTGAGATAATATTTCGTTTTCCTGAGATAAATTCTCGTTTTCCTGAGATAATATTTCGTTTTTCCTGAGATAAATTCTCGTTTTCCTGAGATAATATTTCGTTTTCCTGAGATAATTCCCGACCAATATATGTTGCATAACTTTCGAAACCCCAGACATCGTTTTCCCCGATTTTCTTGATCGATTTTAATTTGTTTAAAACTTGAACATTTCATAGCTTTCTTATTTCATATCCGATTTTCCTCAAACTTTTATTAATCACTTTGTCTTATTTGTCTCCTTTTATTAAAATATAGATATTCTTAGGGTGGCCTTCCCCTTTAAGGCCCTTTTGGAATTGATAATTATCTTCATAAATATATCGAATTTCGACAATTGAATGTTGAGACCTACAAGGTGATGTGAATAACTGAATACCAGGCGCGGATCCAGGGGGGGGGCCGAGCGGGCCTTGGCCCCCCCCCCCCCCCCCCCCCGCAAAAAAAAAAGAGAGAGAAGAAAGGAAAAGAAGGAAAGAGAAAGAAGAGAGAAAGGGAAAGAAAGAAGAGGAAGAAGAAAAGAAAAGGGGGAAGAAGGAGATTGGGGAAGGCGAAAGGGCCTTGCCTCCCAGGTTGTTGACCCCCCCCCCCCCCCCCATCAAAAAAATAAGAGAGAAGGAAGGAAAGGGAAAGAAAAAAGGAAAAGAGGAGATACTGGCGTACTGATAGGGGGGGGGGCTTGGGGGAAATCAAATTCAAACCTGGTTTATTTCTAATTCCACAACGGTGGATTACAAATAATGCTGAAATGACATAATTTCCGAGATTTTTCCTCACTTTTTAGTTGATTCCTACTTGTCAGGGCCCGAGGTACGGCGGGGATCGGGAGCCCCGAGCCCCCCCCCCCCCTACTTTTTTGAAAAAGTATATTAAAGAGAAATGAAATAGAATGAGAGCAAGAAAGAAAAAATAGTTAACTGCCAGTGTTGAAAAATAATGAGGCATCAAAATATGCTCATCTGACCGTGATTAATGCCTAAAACCCCTAAGCTTCCAGGGGCTCTGCCCCCTGGATTTCACCTAGGGCCCTACGGCGGGCCCTTAGATGCTCATCTGACGGTAATTTAATGCCTAAAACCCCTGATATTTTGGGGCTCCGCCCCCTGGACCCCACGCCAAATAGTGACGTGCCAGTCTCACAAAATAATAAGGTATACAAAAAAAATGCTCATCTGACCTTAATTAAACGCCTAAAACCCCTGAGCTTCCGGGGCCGGCTCCGCCGCCTCGACCCCCCCCCCCCCAGGGGCCCTAAGACGGCCCCTGATTCAGACAAGGATTAAGAGTATAGAGAACGATACAACGCATCGTCTTCTTTCTCTAATAATATAATGAAACGTCTAAGCTTCGCGCAGGAGGGGAGGGGGGGGGGGGACTGAATTCAGACAAGGATTAAGAATCGAGAACGGTACAACGAATCGTCTTCTTTCTCTCATAATCTTATGAAACGTCAAAGCTTCCGCGCTTCGCGCGGGAGGGGGAACCTGAATTCAGACGAGGATTCAGAGGCGAGAACGGTAATACGAATCTTTAATGATTTAATGAAAGGTAAAGCTTCCGCGCTTCGCGCGGGATGGAGGGGGAACTAAATTCCGATGAGGATTATTTTCGAGAACGGTACAACGAATCGTCTATTTTCTCTAATGATTTAATGAAACGTAAAGGCGTCCGCGCTTCGCGCGGGAGGAGGGGGTTGGGGAGAATCTAAATTCAGACGAGGATTATTTTCGAAAACGGTACAACGAATCGTCTTCTTTCTCTAATGATTTAAGGAAATTTAAAAGCTTCCGCGCTTCGCACGGGAGGGGGGAACCTAAATTCAGACGAGGATTAAGAGTCGAGAACTCGACAACGAATCGTCTCCTTTCTCTAATAATTTAATAAATCGTAAAAGCTTCCGCGCTTCGCACGGGAGGGGGGAACCTAAATTCAGACGAGGATAAAGAGTCGAGAACTCGACAACGAATCGTCTTCTTTCTCTAATAATTTAATAAATCGTAAAATTTTCCGCGCTTTGCGCGGGAGGGGGAAAACTAAATTCAGACGAGAATTATTTTCGAAAACGGTACAACGAATCGTCTTTTTTCTCTAATAATTTAATGAAACGTCAAAGCTTCCGCGTTTCGCGGAGGAGGGAGGGGGAAAATCGCCCCTCCCTGCACCGACCCCCCCCCCCCCGCATTACGTCACTGTTGGTCACCATTACGTACCAATATTTGGCTCGCAAAATTTCAAATTTGCCCCCCCCCCCTAAGAAATCCTGGATCCGCGCCTGCTGAATACCCCCCTAAAACTGGATTTAGGCCCTAGGCTGACGGCCGTCGGCCTCGTGGGCTGTCCCCTATTGTAATCGGGCAGTCTGTTAATAAAGTGTTCTTGAATCAAGATAGATTTATCATCCAAATTGGTATTGTACCTAAATTTGTACGAGTAAGACTAGTGTCTTTTATTTGTTAATTGCGCTCTTCGCTCGCTCGCAATTTACAGTAAATAAAATTATATATGACATCGTACTCAGGGGGGGGGGGGGCATTCAGATGCCAAAACGTTATAAAATTAGAAGAAAATTGTATTTTTTCAATTCATTTTAACTGTTCATTTTACAACGGAAATTATCTCAGGAAAACGAAATATTATCTCAGGAAAACGAGAATTTATCTCAGGAAAACGAAATATTATCTCAGGAAAACGAGAATTTATCTCAGGAAAACGAAATATTATCTCAGGAAAACGAGAATTTATCTCAGGAAAACGGGAATTATCTCAGGAAAACGAAATATTATCTCAGGAAAACGAGAATTTATCTCAGGAAAACGAAAAATTATCTCAGGAAACGGGAATTAATCTCAGGAAAACGAAATATTATCTCAGGAAAACGAAATATTATCTCAGGAAAACGAGAATTTATCTCAGGAAAACGAAAAATTATCTCAGGAAAAACGAGAATTTATCTCAGGAAAACGGGAATTATCTCAGGAAAACGAAAAATTATCTCAGGAAAACGAGAATTTATCTCAGGAAAACGAAATATTATCTCAGGAAAACGAGAATTTATCTCAGGAAAACGGGAATTATCTCAGGAAAACGAAATATTATCTCAGGAAACGAGAATTTATCTCAGGAAAACGGGAATTATCTCAGGAAAACGAAATATTATCTCAGGAAAACGAGAATTTATCTCAGGAAAACGAAAAATTATCTCAGGAAAACGAGAATTTATCTCAGGAAAACGAGAATTTATCTCAGGAAAACGGGAATTATCTCAGGAAAACGAAAAATTATCTCAGGAAAACGAGAATTTATCTCAGGAAAACGAGAATTTATCTCAGGAAAACGAAATATTATCTCAGGAAAACGAGAATTTATCTCAGGAAAACGGGAATTATCTCAGGAAAACGAAATATTATCTCAGGAAAACGAGAATTTATCTCAGGAAACGAAAAATTATCTCAGGAAAACGAGAATTTATCTCAGGAAAACGGGAATTATCTCAGGAAAACGAAATATTATCTCAGGAAAACGAAAAATTATCTCAGGAAAACGAGAATTTATCTCAGGAAAACGAAAAATTATCTCAGGAAAACGAGAATTTATCTCAGGAAAACGAGAAAAAAAAATTTCTCCATGTCACTTCCGGGGCTCCGTAGTGGTGACATAAACATGTAGTTTTTTTTTTTATTTAAGAAGAGCGTTGTTTTTTTTCTTCAACAAATAACCTTTTTCATGATCATAATTATTGTTTAAATGATACATTTTGGGCCAGCCTCCTTTCTCCAGATTTGTCACTAGTCTGATTTCTGAATCTTACTCTAGATTCTCTTCATATATCAACAGGTTTCATTTCCTTTGAAACCGAACCTCTCTCATAATCATAAATTAAAATCAGACATAGACTATCATATTGATCATTCACAATCACACTTCACAGTCACACATCAATTGTCAATGGTCTCACTCTCACTCTCAGCTCAGTCCCAGAACATCGGTTTTTCGTCAAAAATGTATAGGCTTGTTAACTTGTAGTTGTACAAACTTATTGCACTTGCAAGAGAGGCCATACATTGTATCATAACATGTTAGATTACATTTAAATGAAATATAATTTTCTTACCAGAACGAGATCCAAATGCGAAATTGTCAGCTGCTACTGAAATGAATGAGAAAATGTGTTGACACGTTATTGCATCAGTGTAATGCATTTAGCTAACTATGGAGTGCTCTTTGTAGACGTATTTATGAAGACGACGATGCTGTGGACGATTTTATTTTAGTCTATTTATTAGTCAAGTTCAATGTAACGCAAATAAACAGATTAAAACTACCGATATGTTATAAAATTAAAAATAATATTAATAATAACTTGACAGGATAACCCATTTACCCATGAAACCTGAATAGCTTTTTTTTTACAACAGCTATAGGGTCCTATACTTACAATTTTATTAAGTCAGTATTATTTACTTTTCCATTTAATTAAAGATATATATAATCACAGTAAAATATAAAGAAAGATAAGCACAAGTAAGATAAACTTTTAAATGCTTTGAGAATAACAACATATAAGAAATAACGCTAATTAATTACAGTCCTGAAAAAGTGAATCAATATATTATCAGTTTCCAAGTTATACATTACGTACATATATTATGATAAACGTTATATCACAGTGGAGCTGCGGGGGACATTTTTGTTGTAAACCAAATTCGTACATCTTTTTTCTTCAAAATAATATAAGGTTCAAATATCTTTGTTCGTTGTGAGTAATCGTCTGTTTGGAGACAGAAGGTGTTAACTCATAGCGGTCATGTTATTCCCTTCTGACTCTCAATTAACAGATTACGAGCTGTTCACCTATAAATCGCTATCATTATAATATATTTACAAGAAGAATTCAAGTACAGAAACAAAGTTTGATACTTCTGTGCAGGGGCGTTTTGGGTTTTGGGGTTAACCCCCCCCCCCCCCCTTGAGTTTTTTTTATGTGTGTGTTTTGTGAACCCCCCCCCCCCCCCCCTTTTGATTTTTGATCTTTTATATTTTTATAAAAAATTTAAAAAAATTAATATGGCTGACCTAAAAAAGGTGACCTAACTCCCCCCCCCCCCCAACGAAACAAATGTCAAATTTTCAAATTTCGAAAAAATAAAAGTGTCCTCTTATCCCCCCCCCCCCCCCCCCCCCCCCCCCCCCCCCCCCCCCCCCCCCCCCCCCCCCCCTGAGCGACTTTTCGACTGGCTGCCGCTTACCCCCCCACTGAGCGACTTTTCGGCCTGCGCGATTTTCAAATTTTCGGGAGCAAGCCCGATTTTAAACCCCCCCCCCCCCCCTTGAAAAACAAAATCCTGAGTACGCCACTGCTTCTGTGGTTGATCCTATTGTTTGTTTGATTTAAAAGATTCAGACCATTTCATTCACTATCGAGTATCTTTCTGTGGTTAATTGTCCCTCCACTTTTCGGAGATCGGCGAGTTTATCGCATTCGAAGTAGTAGGCTGCTCTAAACATGTTAAAAAATCCTTAGTTGGAGGGTATGGAGTGCAGGGGCCCGTTCCTACAAACCGTCATAAGTCTAACTTCTTGACTAAATCAGTGTTAGTGAACAACTTGTCCGCTACGTGTTTCACCAAGCCCTCTTTGTCAAGATCAACGACAACATCCTGACTAAGGAGTTATGACACCTCTGACACCGTCGTATCTCTGTCATAACTATTTAGTCGATGGGCAGCGCCATCACATGTCATTTATTGGGTAGACTATGGCTGGCAAAAAAGGACAATAAATCCTCCAACTATGATTTTTCTACACATTCACTTAAACAGTGAATTATCGTTTTTTGTATTTGATAATCTCATGAAAATATGCCATGTTTGTATTTAAGGATTTTCCCACTTAAATAAACTGATTATCCGCCTTTATTTCCACATTGTAAACTCGTCGAAGGGATATGTATTTTGCCATGGCAGGCAAGCCATAGTTTGAAGTGTATTCTTTAGTTTTCAGACCCATATTAATGTCGAGATGAATTTTATTTTCAATTATGCAAAGTGAATGGTTTAAACATATGTTTTAACGTTTGAAATATTGAAGTTTTGTAATTTTTATATTGTGCTGACGCCAAAAACATTGAACACAAATTTCATTACATCGTATTTTTTCAAAGAATAATATAAGGGTGTATTTTTATAAACTATCAAATGAAAATATTCGGGGGGTGCCCATCTCAACAACAAAACTGATTCACTGGTCATGTAATGAAAAACTCACAATTATATTTTACAAGTACTTCAATTGTTTAATCTACACAAATTTGGAAGTATATTGGATCTCTTATTTCTTGGTATCATTTTAAATCTTTTTTATTACTAATTCATTTAAATAATTGCATTTTCCCTAATATTAATTTTGTAATAATCTGGTGGTATTGCGACTAAGGCTAATTCTCGGCTCCTCTTCTCGCCGATAATATCGATCTCACGAGATACTAGCTAGTAAGCGCTTCGTGAAACGGTTTAGGAAGATCAGAGACATCTCCGTAGTTGGCGGATAAAGTTATGACTGTCTTGTCGTTGGTTTCTAGGAACGAGCCCCAGGCAATGGCATGAATTTTGTAAAGATAGAGCAGCCCATCGCATCCCTGTTAAATCTTGACAAAAAAGGAAAAGAAATTTATACTATATCGCATACCATACTCCTTATTATCATCGATGGTGACGTCATCGAAATAAAAAAAACGAACAAGTTAAATTAATTTTCTATTCTTGTAACGTAGCGTAAATATCTTTCAGATGGCGGACAATACACCTTCATCTTCGTCGTCATCCTATAATGATGAATATCAAGTGAATCTTCAGACGGTACCCGATGTTGTACTCAGTCACCTATTATCTTATTTATCCTACGAACAAATCAGTAAAGTACGGTCGGTAAGTTGAACGTGACATAAAAGATAACATGTGGGACAATATTAAATGAGTAGACTGTGGCCAGCCTCGAGCTCGACGATTCTGATGCAAACCTCCGCCTCCGGTCGAGGTTCCGCTGCCGTGCTGTGTCGGTGAGGGTTGGGGAGGGGGGGGGGTGATAGTCAGGGTTCGTATCACAACAAATTTTGCTCAAATGTGAAATATGCAATAGCTCTATGATAAATCAATGTAAACCTAGATTTAACTCATGAATGAATTCTCGCTGTCACCATGATCACAAACAGATATTTTTACTTAATAGGTCTATCAGTAGGGTAGACCGAAAGCTTCAGTCTCTATACCGTCGGTTGTTCCACTGAGACTACGTCTGGCTCCACTAGACCTCCGGTTATAGAGACAGAACGATCGCCTATGCCAGCCTATGTTGAAGATATCACGGCTAGATTTTAGCCGTTAGGCCCCTCCCACAAACATGAACAAACTTGCCACGGCCGTATTGTTATGCCCCCAAAATCCCCCAAAATGTCATTTTACCTCGTGCATATCCAATTTTACATTAGGCCTAGGCTATAATACATCGGTTCCACTTACTAACTTGATTGAAATAATCCGTTTAATGGTCCCTTTTAAGGAAATTATGGGTCAAAATCGACATCCATGTTGAAAATCTTGCAAGCCGTGTTAAACTCTCGCTGCCGTCGCGTCAATCTCATCCCTTCTAGTCTACGCCGAAGGCAAAAATGATTATGAAGGAAAAACTGTGCGCCATCTACACGTTCGTAATGGCGTTGTCACAGTTTTTCCTTCATAATCATTTTTGCCTTCGGCGTAGACTAGAAGGGATGAGATTGACGCGACGGCAGCGAGAGTTTAACACGGCTTGCAAGATTTTCAACATGGATGTCGATTTTGACCCATAATTTCCTTAAAAGGGACCATTAAACGGATTATTTCAATCAAGTTAGTAATTGGAACCGATGTATTATAGCCTAGGCCTAATGTAAAATTGGATATGCACGAGGTAAAATGACATTTTGGGGGATTTTGGGGGCATAACAATACGGCCGTGGCAAGTTTGTTCACGTTTGTGGGAGGGGCCTAACGGCTAAAATCTAGCCGTGATATCTTCAACATAGGCTGGCATAGGCGATCGTTCAGTCTCTATAACCGGAGGTCTAGTGGAGCCAGACGTAGTCTCAGTGGAACAACCGACGGTATAGAGACTGAAGCTTTCGGTCTATCAGTAGGGGTGCTGGTCCGAGAATAAGGATCATCTTCATAAACACGGACCAATGCGTCCTCAAAAATAAGGACCGTCTGCATTTTCGCAGACGTTTCATATTTTTGATCGGTGCATTGGCGATGCAAAAAACGGATTCTGCAATGATTTTCTTGATGCATTTTACATTGACTTTGTACAGAGACCTTCACATTATGAGCAATAAATCCTTGGGAAGACGGACAACCCATAAAAGTAGACGGTGAACTAGGGTTATTTTCCCCCGGGGAATCCATTTTTGGCATCGCCAGCAGGCCGTTCTGTAACATGAATCCCCCGAGCACCGATGAAAAAACGTCCTCGAAAATGAAGACAACCCTTATTTTTCAGGACACATTTTGTCTGCGTTTATGAGGACGATCCTCATTCTAGGACCAGCGCCCCTACTGTTAATAAGGCACTCGTTTAGAAGTCTATCCAAAATTTGACCCGTAACTCCGGCTTGGAGATACCTAACTCCAGCTCCAGGAAGCTCCAACACCGGCGCCGCAAGAGCTTCCTGGAGTTAGGAGATACCCTACTAAAACATACCCAAAATGAAGTAAATATTCATCAAATAAAGGTCATGTTTTAAAAGTTGATATGTTTGTTACCTGTTTCATGTCAATTTTCTTCTTTTTGGGGGAGTATTTTTCCTAAAAATGAAGGCTTATAATATGCACTTTCTCACGGGATTCACGGTAAACTGAAGCACAATACAATTAGCCTACATAACGTCCCAAAGGTCGGTGCGGGCGAGCACGTGTGTTAAGTTAGCGACTGTTTATATTACGGTCACTAACTAACTGAATGCAATTGTATTGTGCTGCGGTTTGCTGTGAATCCTGTGAGAAAGTGCATTGCGTGCATGGGTTGTTGCTGGGCTGGACGAGCATTATAGCTTGTCCATCCTAGCAGCGGCTGGTGTATGCGGTCCGCGTTCTGGCTATTGGAGTGCAGTGTCCCTCAGCAGGTGAGTGTGAAAGCTTGTTGGTATTTCCTTTCGCTTGCATTTGAGTGCATTGCAGAAGTGAACTATTGGTATCTCATAGTATTATGTTAATGTTTTTTGGAAATCTGTATTGTAATTCATGTTCATTTCAGTTTTTAACTGCCAGACACGAAGATCTTAAAGGAAACCAAAACCTTCATACTAAGTTACTTTTATTGTAAAGTTTAAGATGTTTGAAAAATATCAGTGAAAATTTGAACAAAATCGGGCAAGGATTAAGGAAGTAAGAGCTTTTTTAAATTACTAGTCACTAGAGGGCGGTATTCAATTTGATGACATCATCTGTAAACAACACTCCATGCCTTTTGTACATCAAATTTCATGTTTTTCCTTCTTTCTTGTGATTGAGATAATGTACTCCCCTGAAAGCAAGATATAGTATGCAAAATGATATTCTACTTCACATGTTATGAAGTCGGATCAAGAACACAAATAAATATGAAGAAAACAAAAAAATTGTGAAATTTTATGTACAAAAGGCAAGGAGAGTTGTTCAGAGATGATGTCATCAAATTGAATACCGCCCTCTAGTGACTAGTAATTCAAAAAAGCTCTTACTTCCTTATTCCTTGCCCGATTTTGTTCAAATTTTCACTGATATTTTTCAAATATCTTAAACTTTACAATAAAAGTAACTTAGTATAAAGGTTTTGGTTTCCTTTAATAAAATCCATTTATCCATCTTATCTTTCCATTTATCTAATCCCTTCCCTTCCATAACGGCATAACCACCCAATTATTTCATAACGACACCGCACTTTCATTACTCACTCTTCATATAGCATATTACACTTTCAATTCTTCTACCTCTCTTTCTGCTATTCCATTATGTCCAGCTATGTGCAAGATTCAACTTCATCGGTCAACAGGTGCTCAATCAAGGCTTCTCCAAGCTTGACCGCTACCATGGCCAGTGTGCCAAGGAGCTCAAAGCCCAGCTTCCCCGCAGGGAGTCTGAACGTAGGATGCACCCCCTAGCAAGGCATTGTGACATCCTCTCTGCAGTGGAGACGAGGTTGTCCCTACTTGCCATGACCTACACAAAGTACATTGACCTACAGCTCTGCTGCTTCATACCAGGAAAGGTAGTTCTTTATCCCTAATGATTCTTGATTTTTATTTTTAATTGAATTAATTAACTGAGGTGGAGTCTGTTCCTTTTTTAGAGTGTAGCCCCTTCAATACATTTTGAGATGTCAAAATGAACTAGGTACTGCTGATATGTGCCTTGATTTCTAAAATGTAGAAATTGATATTTAATACTTCAAAAGGGCACATTACATGTATTTCAATAGTTACCATATTGTAGATATTTTTACAGCGCACATATTCACCATAGTCTGGAGGATACCAAATGCGAGATGGTAATACATGTATCTGAACTTTTCTGTTTGTTTCTGTACTTCTTTCATTTTGGAATAATCCCAGGTCATCGATGAAGCTTTTAATGTACTCCACCTGGTCAAATTCACCAAGGTCCCTCCGCCTACCCATGAGCTCCTGCAGGAGCTGAGGGATCTCTCCTCTATGGCCATGGAGCACTTTGACGAGAAGATTGTCCCTGACCTCAAGAAGAAGTCAGGTGTTGAAGTCCGTCCCTCCAACCTTGGCAACCATACACTTTCAAGTGAGTTGTAGATCTCCATTACAATATGTTCATTTTAGCAGTTGCAAACATTTTCCCATAATAAACATCTACCAAACAAAACAAATTGGATGGAAACATTAATGTTTTAAATAAAAATGAAAGACAACAAACATTCAAATATAACTGAAATCATCTTGTCTTCTATTATACTTTTGTTCAATAAAGCAAAGGTATATTCTTGATATATGTACATGTATACACAACCCTGCATTTGATGGTTTCTCCACAACTGTACATGAATATCAAAGCAACTGTCATTATTTCATTATAAGCAAAATAATAATGCATTTCTTCTTTGTTCTCTCTTTTAAGCCCTATCAGGTCGAAGTCTGAAGGTCAGCTCCTCCCTCTCGGTTCCTTCAGGGAGCCGAGAGCAGTTCAGCAAGCTCCACTCCCAGTACAAAGCCACCCTTGCCTCCTTCAACACCCACCGACGGGAGCTCCAGTCCTGCAAGGCCGAGCTCCAGGAGATGCGCAAGATCTCTGACGAGCAGAACAAGAAGATGACGCAGCAGCAGCAGCTGACCACCGAGCTGTCCAGTCGGCTGGCCTCGCAGAACCTGAGGGTGACGGAGCAAGAGAAACGCATCTCGGAACAGGACAAGAGATTGGCCGTCCTAGAGCAGAAATTGGAGGCCTTCTCAAAGCCAACCGAGAGAATTGTCTCAGGCGTGGCTACAAAGAGGAAAGCGGAAGACAGTTCTGGAGGAGGGGGTGGTGCTGGAGAACCATGTTCCAAAAAGGAGAAGGTCTAGCTCAAGAAAAACCTCCTGAAGAAGGCTTCCTGCTTTGAAGGAAAAAAAGACAATTTTCAGGGCAGTGCTATTTATGATCGCAGATTCACTGGTGAACGAAAATAGGTAACTTGTTTGATGTTGAATTTCATGCAAAAGAGTCGAAGTGTTCAAGGAGATAAGTGATCAAATTACTTCTCTCCATCATTATTTATGTATCCCCTTGCCTACGCACACACTCTCAACTGTATTGACACAATTTCCTATGTTTAGTTGAATAGAAGAAAGGGAGGCATTTTAAAAAGGAAAGCAATCACTGCAATGAACAGACAGTAGTTTCTATGGGTAAAATATCTGTGGAGCAAATGCTTATATATCTGTATCTGCTATTAGAGGTTGAAATTGGTTAAATCTTGGTTAGCTGGTACTACATGTATCATCATGTCATGAACTCCAGCAAGACTATTTTTATACTCTTGGTCCAAGATTACAATCCACATTTTGCTGTGGCATGGGAAGTATTTTCAAATATTTTCCAGTATTCTTTCATGATTGCAGTTGAGGGTTTGGGATAGCCCAATGTTGTTTGAATAGAAAGTGTGAAGATGGCAATAATAGGGGGTTGGTATGAAATTGGCCAGGTGCTAACACTTGATGTCATCATGTCCTGTGAGACAGAGAGTAGTGGGGCTCAGGGAAGATCTATCTTCATGTCACGCTTCAACTGAAGCAAAGCCATTGCTTAGAATTTTAAACAAAATGCCATCATTCAACTAAAAGCCATCTGTCTACTGAAATATTCAATTTGAATTCCATATTGGAATTGTCCTTTAATGAATTACATTTCTGAAAATGAAAAATCATGCAAAGTATATTTAAAAAACAAAACAATCATGGTTCCATCGTATATCTTTGGTATATAAATTGTGAAATAGTATGTCATTTTTAACCACAGTGAATATTTATAATCCAGATTTAAAACTTGTCATCAAATAGGTGAAGATTGGAGGTCTAAGCTTTGCCTAGATGTACATGTAAAGTTAAAATGCTCAGATAATTTGGCAGAGAATATTTAAGTAAAGGGAGAAGGTAATACTTACACTAAATCAAAATCATGTAATAGTATTCATTAAAATGAAATAAGTACTTTGAATTATTTATATGTGGTTTCCATTCATCTTCTTTGTGATGCAACATAGGGCCTTTAGAGGCCTACAATTTTCTCTTGCTAAGGTTACTACCTCTTTACATATTGAAATGAAGAAGCACACAAAGTGGACCATCTCTGTATTTTTAGCTCTGTGGGGGTGTTTATTGATTGTATTTTTATATGTTATGACCCACCCTAGTATAAACAAGATCTGGTATCATTGATGCGTGCTTTCAAGTGAAATCTAATGTTGGATATTTACCGCATTTGCCGGCGTAAAGGCCGCAGTATTTTTGGAAGAGAAAATATCAAAAAGTCGGGGTGCGGCCTATGCGGCGAAAGAGTTAAAAAAAAATCAAAAAGTAAGTCAAACCAGCACGAATTTGCACATATGGGACTAGATCTACGAACAGTACAATAACTATACATTTCCACACATCTTACCGACAATTTTATCTTGCATTGTTGACATGAAGATGAAAATAAACTTCCAAAAACAACATCTGCCGATAGATCTTGATCTAAGTTCGTGCCAATGCATTGCAAAAGTAAAAGGAGGGCCCGTTTAACAGAGCTGCCGCGAAGCATCCAGCACGCGAAGTCGCTATTTTGAATCCATTTCAATACACAAGAGAGAGGCGCAATGTATACATCACAGAAAACTCCATATGCTACCATCAGTGCGGGATGGCTGAGCGGTCCAAGGCGGTGATTTTAGTCACATCAACATTTGTACGCAAGAGATCAAATGCCGACTTAGACAAAAGTTTTTTTTTTTTGTTTTTTTTTACTGTCAAAATCGGGGGTGCGGCCTATACGGCGCTGCGGCCTTATTGCCGGCAAATACGGTAATAAGGAATTTTTTTTGTGTCGTGTTCACCTTAACTGTTGCACATTGCTCCTTCTTCATATCTCTCTACCTCTCTCTACATCTTTTCTTACCTGTTCACCTTTTCCTCTACTTCCATCACTGTTTTCATCTTATACTCATTTCTCTCTTTCATTCTCTCTCTCTCTCTCTCTATCTCTCTCTCTTACACACACACTCCCTCTCACACCCTTGAATATTTACTTAATTCTTCCAATTACATGTAGTAAAATTATACATTGGATGCTCAAAAACCAACTCTAAATATTGTTTGAGAACGGTATATCATATGGCTAGCTCTATTTTAGTTCTCCTGATGCTTTAGGATTAGAGAAGTTTGAACTGATGTTGTGAATAGCTTTACCGAATTTATGTATATTATGTGGTCCACTATCATTGTTCTTCCTATGCCATACTGTTTGATGAAATATATGTAAGGTATGTAACATAATCAACCAAGGTTATAATCATCAATAAAATGACAGGTTAAGCGAGTTGTTCTCTCCCAGAGCCCAATTACTATCCCTTTGGTCTTCAATAAACAAATAGTAAGACAGCACTGAAAGATAAAGGCCTTCATGAAATGTCCATTTGATAAATTAAGACCGTTACATTCACCTCCATCTGTATTCAGACTTTTCTCTCCACGAATTTTAGGTCAATGTCGGAACTATAAAATTAAAGATTATAGAGGTCAAAATGATATTGGCTGATGTTCATAAATTTATACTGACTTAAGTCTGGGGTTGTGAGCAGATATAGTTCACTGATTTATGGAGCGCCAAATGCCAACCTCCCAACAAAACAGAAAAGAAAAAAAAATATTTAGATTAACAAACGAAATTGTGTCAACATGACATCAGTTTCTCATTTTCATTTCCTGAGTGGATTCATTTTTTTGTTTATTTATTTTGTCACAGGATTACAACAAGTTGCTCCAAGTAACGAACTTGACAAATGGCGCTCCATAAATCAGTGTACTAAACAGTAAACCTTTTCAAAATATATTTTTGTTCATTATTTGGTATGTGCCCTAGTGAGAGTTTTATTTTACTTTTATTTAGCTGAAATAATGTAAAGGTGAGCTTTGATAACATGTATAAAGGGTAGTGATTTTCATCTGGACTGTTTTGCAAATGATATAGTGCCAAATAGACATGAAATTTGATTTCACACTTTTAACCAAAATAATGAACAAAGATTTGTTCATTTTGAAAAGACATACTGTTACTATTAAGTTAAACCAGCTTTAGCTTATTTGTATCTTTAAGTACATATCCATTGAGTGGACTTTTGGGATAATTTTACAAGTTTAAGCCAAAATGTTATGATCAGCAACTATTTATAATAACATGAATAAATCATTAAAGTCATTTGCAATGTTTATAAATTTATACATTTTGTGACATAGAATCACAAGTTTATTTAATTTTGATATGACTATGTACCAATGTATCATATTGGAGACAATGGAGGCTATTATGTATAAATATATGATGGGGAGTGTAAATTAATCTTTGATTTTGTACAGAACGAATGCAGTGTTCAAATATCTATAAGGTCACATTGATGGAGAGTGCATAAAAACTGCACCACAAAATAAAGGTGTATATTTTGTCATTCTTTTCCACCATATTTAGATGCAAATTATACGTTATCTGCATTGTCTTGAGTTTGTATTGCCCTTTCTTTCCACCGAAAACAGAAATACTGTTGTTTACAGGTTTCTGTTCGAAGGCCTGTATATTTTGTCAGGTTATTCTTTTTTTCTTCATTAGAGATGATGTGATGAACTTTGTAATAAAATCTTAGACAACTCGATGAATGAATGTTGTGTGACTTAATTATTTGTTTGTCATAAGCACTGTAGAAATTAGTTTATACAGCTGCAGATTTTAATCTTTTAGGAGTGCTTGAAATCTGGCAATGAAATTTCATGCTGAAACTGGCTTAAATGATTCTGAAATTTTCATCATGCAGAAGATGGGTGTTTAGATTAGCCAAATTGGACAAACTAACAAAAACTTCTACAAATCACATTTATGGAACAGTACAACTATCATTTGCATATTTATACAGACCCCATGTTATGCATAAGGCTGGGACTATCAGCTTGATTTTGTTTACACCTTTTACATTTGCAAGATATCATGTACTTGTTACTTGAACATTCAACATCAGTTCTATGTGAATATGGAGACAAAGAGAAAGAATACTAGTAATATTCAAGTTCATATATTGAAAGTGCTGTCATTTTCCTTGTTTTGATTTCACTTGTAATCACGACACACACATACAGGACTAGCTGTGAAGAAAGCCTTGCACTCTTTCCATTGACCGACCCAAAATAATGGAAAACACAAACAACAATGTACAAGTGTATCTTTTGTTATTATGCATTTTCTATATGTAATCATATATCATTAACCATTTAACAAAAATAAAATAATGGTCCAATATCATAATCAAAGTAAGCAAATCCAACAATTATTGACCCAAGTTTTACACTTACTTAGCAAATTAGTGGTTTATATCAAATAATCTTGATATTAATGCATGGCAGGGCACACACTATTAATTAAAGAATGTTTGCGGTTATATTGCTTTATATAATATAATTGGTGCTAGCTGACAACAAAGTTATTTTCTTCTAAAAAAAGTACCAGTATTGCTGTCCATCTTGTACATTAAAATAAGAGAGTTGTACAGGGGCAATTCCACGGTAACGGAAGGACACTCAGACAAGATTTTTGAACTTCAGGTTCATACTAAAAGAACTGTTTTATTAGTATAAGATGTGAAACGGTACAGATATAATACCTATATAAGTGCCTTTAATTCTCCCCAAAAAAATTGTCATTATAGTTAAGTAGTTTAAGAATGTGCATATTAATTATCTCGGTAACGGAAGGACATAAAAATGGACATGGTTTTTCCAGTTAATTAGTGTTTATCCAAACTTTGTGAAGTTGATGAAGCTTTCCACTTGACTGAAACACATTTTGTTCCCCATAGTTTAATACATACTAATAAAACATTTCTTTTAGTATGAACCTGAAGTTCAAAAATCTTGTCTGAGTGTCCTTCCGTTACCGTGGAATTGCCCACAGGTATCCATTCATACTTATGGATTTTTAGTCAGCTGTCTTAAAGGTAAAGACCAGTATTGGAAACGCCCCAATTAAAAAAAAAAGAAATGGAAGCTCTTATCACCAATCATGTGAAAGAATATGTTTTGACTATTAAATACATGATGATAAAAAATTTGCCGGGAAACCGCCTACTAATTGATATATTTGGTAAATTAGTTTATCTACATGGTCTGTGAGAGATAAACGCACGTGTCGCGCACGTTTGCGTATAGTCCCATATACATCTTTCTGTGTACACTGCTTGTAACTTTACGAAGACTGGGCCAAATTTCTTATCATTTTGATGATTCCAGAACCTTGCAGTACACACCAATACTTATATGCTAGATGATCAACCTTTTCTGATCGATTCCACAACGTTTCTTTCACAATGCAATCGCATGACCATAACTGGTCTTTACCTTCAAATACCATTATTTTGTATGCATAAGTTGCACCCTCATTGTCTAGTGAAAAGTACATGTGAGAAGAAACAGGTAATGATTTAATCATAAATAAACTGCCTTCACTTTGCAAAATTAGAAGAAAAAAAACATAAGGAAAGAACAGTATTTGTGAAAGCAAGAATATTCATAGGCGTTAGATAATTTTATCCAAACACATCTTTTGGTACATGTAACACAAGGTCCTAACATTTTCCATTTGCAAATTAGAAAAATCATATACCAACATCTAATCTACATTTGATAATTTTCTTACATTCTTACATCCACAAGTTTGAATGAAAAGCAAAATGGACACTTAATTTTCAGTTCATCAAATAACTGTTCAATAAAGATATTTATGATGCCCTAAAATAATCAATACACAAGTATCATTCCCATCCCAAAATATACTAATAATGATAACCAAATGTTGTATTAGAATTAAAACATAAAAAAAGATGAATGAATCTTTGATAAAGCACAGAGAACAAACAAGAAATAGCCCCTGCGCATGTTTATCAGAATTTCAAATATATCTTGAGGGAAACAAAAGAAGAAAATAATTCATGTTAATGAAATTTATTATTTTTGTAGTCACCGTTTTCTTTATCAGTGGATGAAACAAAAGTCAAAACATATTCTATTGCTTATCTTTGTACAATCTATACATACTTTGTATACCGGTAATAATTTCCACACTACATGTACATACGGTAACCATAGTCCTATCTAGAACATAAGCAAATTCTCTTTGATAGTAATGAGCAGTATCTTGTTTTATTTTGGCTTTATAATTTCCTTCACATACATTGTAGACCACTTCACAAATTCATTCAACTTTATGGATGCTTCTTCTGTGCAATTTTCGATACCAACTATTATATTCATCTACATGTATTACAAGTTAAAAGGTACATGTGAGTTATTCTAGACAGCTGAAGACTGATATTAGTAGCCACTGCAGTAAAGACATGCACAAATTTAAAACTTGGAGAACTGGCCAACCGAATGGATTTTTTTCTTCTTCCAGTCCTGATTTTGCATAAAACATGTATAGCTTGCTCTTATACTGGATATCTTTATACAAAACAGCATTATCAAGGCATGAAAAGCATTATCAAGGCATGAACAGCAATAAAAACTACATGTACTTTTGAAAAGGTGTATCATGGTCCTTTCGCATTAATAGCTACATTGAAATAGCAAATATACACAGACTGAACATCAATTTCCTTTCCATGATCCAAAATTCATAAAACTACACATAAATACCTAGCTTATACTTTCTCTTTTTTCCAAGATTGTACAGCATTCTTAATAAATATTTCATTTGAAAACTATTTGTCTTTCTGAGTATAATTGTTATAGAAACTATACATGTAGAAGCACAAAACATAACATTTTCTCTGAATTCTACAGCATTTTCATGTACAACACTTCATTTTGTAGTAAGGACCACAAAGATTTGTCTTACTTTCAAAATGTTTCTTCAGAATTTCAAGAATTGTATACAAGTACAGTACACCTAAATTTGTATTCACTGGTACTACTTTTTTTCATTCAAAGTAAATGCAAATTTTTTTCTAAGAATATATCTGAAACATATCTCTGAAAAAACAATAGTAAGTAAATGAGATACATCAGTTCTCATAAATTTACAAACAAGTTTTAAAATTATAAGAGAACTGGAAGGAAACGATCTTGGACTGCATTTTCAAGACCAATTTTCCAAAATACAATTGACATTAAAGATAAACTTGAGTTCTGGTAAAAAAAAGAATATGAATTCTCACAGAATCTAACGAAACTTACACTGAATGTTCAAGATTACAAATAAATGTCATGTGCCAAACAACTTTGGAAGAAATGTATACTGGCTGAGTAATGAGCATAGAAAGATAAGGAAATCAGGGTAGTACTAGCCCAGACACCATGTGTGTTGTCCCATATACACCTTTCTGTGTAAGTGATTGTTACTTTACCAAGACTCTGCCAAATTTATGATGATTTTGATGACTCCAGAACCTTGCATTACACACCATTACTTACATGCTATATGATCAACTTTTCCGATCCATTCCACACCTTTTCTTTCACAATGCAATCGCATTACCAGAACTCAAGTTTATCTTTAACAAAAAGAATGAATTAAATCAAACAGTACATACATCATGTATGAAAAGTTGAAAATGATGTACACCAGATATAGAGAAACAAAAAAATAACATCTATGCATACATGTATATCTTTCCAAGGAAATTTTGTACAGTTCATAAAAACATAAATAAAACTGATTTTCCCTGCAATTTTTTTTCTTCATGAGCTGAGATATCAATATAACAGTACCACCACATTACTAATTTCTGTTATAATATTATGCAGTAGGACTAACCCGAAACTTGCTTTTCTTGCGCTTAGCCAAAGCTGCTTGTCTCTTCTGCTCAATCTCCTGTTGACTGCAGCCCCTCTGCATGGGCACACCACCTAGAAAGTCATATACACAATGTATCATTTAAGATCTTGCACTGAAAAATAACAAACAGGGGCTAAGAGCGACTTTGTTTCGGAAATTGGAAAAAGAACTCTGGACCATAATTACATGAAGACTGTCCCTTTAGATTAATATAGATTATAGAAACACCCAAAGAAGGTGATTTCACACAGACTATGTACATGTACCTTGAGGAAAGGTAAGCACTAACAAACTCAAGTTTGAGATTCCTTTGAAATATCCATGACAGAGCAATAATGAGTTACATGTTCAAACTTCATAGTCAAATAATGTGAGGTCTGACTATGATGTAAACTGTATCAGTTGCATTCATCCAAATAAAAGACTCAAAACAGAACCTAGTCAGTTGGCAGGCCTCACTCACACTTGAAATATGAAGCCTGAAAAATTGAAATATCCAGATCCCATACTTGTGTTCATCGCCTTTGGTACTGACAAAATGTGTCTATTATGGGTAATAACTAATAATTAGGATGAGATGGCATCACTTACCTTCTTTTACAGCTGGTGGGACAGGCTGGGAAAGACTCCTACGACCCTGTCCAGGTTCCACACCAACATTCTTCCTATCCAATGACACTGCCTGATTATTATTAATGGACTGTTTAGTTACAGGACTTTGAGCAGTTGATCTGGTAAATCTAGAGCGTGTTGCCCCCACTGCTGGAGTGATTGTTGACTGATTTTGGTTCTTTGGTGTAGAACTCCTGCTACTGTAGTTGCTTGTTGAACAAGAGTCACTGCCTTTTGACTTTGAGGTTCCTTCTGAAGAATACTGTGCTCTAGTGCTCATTGAATGAGTTGGTGTCTTGGTTACTGTGGGTTTACATGAATTACCCACTATGTTTCCAGTCAATTCTCCTGAAAATTGCTTTTGAGTACTGTCGTTGGACCCTACAGGAACAGTTGATGGCGCTTCCTTGGTGATCTCTTCAAAGTCAGAATCATTATCTAGAAGAGCTAAGAGCATGTCATCAGGGAGACTATTGTCACCAGCAAACAAATCATCTAGGCTGTCATTAAACCCATGACCTTTAACCGATGCTGCGTGTATGGCATCAGTCATTGGAGGTACTCTTGCAGTCTTTTCTGACAGTCTTGTGCAAGTGGTGTGGCCATGACCAACTTGTAATGCAGAGTTTGCAGAATATGTCGCAGGAGGGATACATTTTGTAGGAGCACAGGATGATTTTACAGGGGCCTTCTGCACTGTTCTTCTTGATACATTCATGTTGGCATTGGTGTATACACTGTACTTTGTACACGGTGGCTTTACATTGCTGACAGATTTGGCACTTTGATGAGTTGATGTACTTGGTATAGGGGCAGTGGAGACTGCTTTAGAATTCAGAGATGGTGCATGGGATCTGGAAGTATGCACTGGACCTTTCCTATATGACATGGTTGCCGGTTTCTGGGCCGGCATCTGCGATCCCATGGATGTGTTCCTGGAGACAGGGACCTGTGCTGTTGATTGAGTTGTCCATTTAGGCCTTGAGACACCCTTTGTACCTCCGGGCATAGAATTTCCACTATCCATTCTACCAGAAGATGTCGTCTGTACAGAAAGACCACCATTACATACATTTGTCTTACTTTGATCATAACTTAGGCACATCTTGCTTTTGGCATCGACAACGTATCCCTTCTGAGTAGGGGATATCATATCAGCATTTGAGTTCAATGATTCTATCCTACCCTTCACCTGTTGCATCTGCTTAGTCAAGGCTTCATTTTCCACCTGAGTGGCTATCCTGATAATGGAGTCATCATCACACCAGTCATCACTGTCCCAGAGATCATCAGAAAAGGAGAAATTGGAGCTCTTCCTTTTCTCCTTCATCACTTGCCTTGTCTCCATCTTATTGCAGTCCACATTGTTTGCCACATCATCATCATCATCAAAGAGGTCTTCTAGATTATCACAATCCATGGCTTGACCACCTTCAAGCTCAGTTGTGCCTTCTGTCTTTGCCTCTGCATTGCCTTTCTGAGGATGACTGCAGGGTTCCTCAACAGTTGCTGCAAGGTTGTCTGTCCATTCTGTCAAGATGCGTAGGTCATCCAGGACAGTTTTATCCAGACCAATCCTGGAGAGTTTCCTACCAGTTGTTCTTCTTGCAAGTCTGCAATATTTACATGAAAAAAACAATTTCAACATATATCATTGCTAAACACATTTCATAAGACAAGTTTGAAGATCAATATATTGCTGATTCAATCAATTCTCTCTTTTAGGATTTTCAGGAGTTAAAAATTTGGGCAATACATTATCAAATTGTGAGTCAAATAAGGTTTAAAACTTTTGAAGTGAAAAAACCCAAAACAGGTGGCTGGAAGAATCGTAGATCATCTCTGAAAATGTCATGCAGCATAATTAGTATTATGAACAGCCCATTTCTAAGAATGGACATTGATTCACAAGTTCAGTAACACTTGATCATGTATAAAAATGAAGGGATTCTTAACCACTGTTTAACAAGTTAAGTTACATTACCTGGCAGGCCTACGTCTCTTCTGGCCTGAATCAGGTTCCTGTCTATTCCTCATCCATAGACCAAGCAGGGGAGGAGTGCTTGATTCTTTGTTTTCCTGCTGAATAACAAGGATAGTTGAATATTTACTTTTCATCTCATAGCTATTATGATGATATTTTCAAAGTGAATAATGAACTTTGATGATATTTTACAGGATTTGTTAACTATTTCTAATTTTCTACTTAGTTACTTTGTACGTATTCCCTTCATAATTCTTCAAGCTTGAATAAATGTTTGGTAAAGAATATAAATGAGATGATATACACAGGCAGATCCCCAGTTATATCTTACAATATGGCCAATATGTTTGACTCAATTTTGAAATGCTTGCCAGTTTCTTTAGCAAGAGACAAGATGTCTAGAACCTTCTCAGTCTTAATGTGTCCAGTCTTTCTGTTCCTTTTCCTCCAACTTCTCCATACTCTCTCTCTCTCTCTCTCTCTCTCCCTCTCTCTCTCTTTTTATCAATTTTTCTTATAATTCTCTTTCTCTCTTCCCTATTTTCTATGTCATACTATACCTTTGGATGCATGCACTCGATGAGATCCGTCAAATCTTGCTCTGCAGCAGTAGCTCTGGTTACCCTCCTCCCTATCAAAATAAAGGACAAAGTAAACTCTATTGAAAAATAGCAAAGGAATTTATGTTTTCTCATCTTGGATTAAGAGACTTCATAATAAAGTGACAAAAATCCTGAAAATATTGGAAAAGATAAATATACTTTTAAATGGTTGAGTTATCTGACTATCGACGGTAGACATTAAGGTAAAGAACAGTATTGGACTACTATTGGTTAAAGTCTATGGGGAAATGTGTTTCCTTCATTTTCTAAGATTTGGATGGCTATCAATTTTACAGCTGACTCATTACCTTGTCAAGGATGAAATCATTTCTGGACTAGTTACAACATATCATGATGTCAAAGTTTTTTTCTTGGATTAAACTAGAATTGCTAAAATCTTGAGGTGAAACCTACCTGGTGTAGTAGATAGGCAGATCCGCCTGGGTGGAGGGGAATCCCCCCAGATGATGTCTCGCTCATTGTCAGTCACAGGAGAGTCCTGAGAGCTATCTCGGGAACATTTCCTTGCTCTTCTCATCTTGCCTTTTTTTCAGGTCAACTAAAGAAGGAAAAAAAATCTTTCTAATGGTAATCTTATTCAAAGATAATTCTGTTTATACATGTATACTTTATATTTTACACTTAAGTAACCTAAGTAAAGGCAAAGTAAAATACTACCTTGAACTAGTCTAGGTCAATGGCCATTGGGCGATCTCCTTTTCAAAGTGCCAACTACTAGTTATTGTAATATTATACAATAAAACCTAAATTTCATGCCATACCCATTTCTGTAATAGATTTGGAAATCACCCATTATAGACTCTAAATTAGTTTTGTTAATTTGTCTGTTGTCAGTATAGACTAGATCTAGAAAAGTTCTTCCGTTTGTACACAAAAATGTTTTGGTCAAGAATTAAATTTTCATCTCAACTTCTCAAGCACAAACATCAATTTTTAAGACTAAATTCTACCAGTTTTAGTTCTTCTAGTCATCAACCATTCCAACTCATTTAATTTTAAGTTAAACCACCATGCCCATGGACCAGTTTCTTAAATCCGTCAGAAGTCAAACTTCTTGACTATCCCATTGAAACGTGTGTTATAATATTAACACAGGTTTCAATGGGATAGTCAAGAAGTTAGACTTATGACGGTTTCAAGAAACAGGCCCCAGACGCAGACTCCAGGAACATCAGCTCAGTGACGTCAGAGTCAGAAACACACTTTGTTTACGTCATAACCATGATAACTCTCCCAACAGGTAAATACTAAATGGATAGTTGGATACCAATTCGTGAAATCAATATCATACTTCTTTAATTACTAGGCCCATAAATAGTTAAAGCCTAGGTCCTAGGTCTAGGATTAGCCATTACTTTAGGAATGGGCAGCGAGTGACAGTCGCAGTCCAGCAGAATATTTAAGGGGTCTTGCATGGCCCACGCCCCCGACCTTCCGGGCGCGGACTTGTCCTTATCGGCGCATTACTCGCTGAATACTCCCCGACCGACAGCCTGAGGTTACGCTCTTGTAACTAAAGCTCTGCAGAAAAAATGGTGAGAAATTACACTTTATCTTGATTTTAAAAAACAAGCTTGTCTTTCCTTACCTCTTAATATCAAAAAGTCGTTCTTAGCACGCAGAAAGTATACTTTGAAAAGATTCTTTGACAGTTGTCGACATTGTTGTATTTTGAGTCCTCCGCGTAATTTACTGTTGCCAATTTGCCATCCAATCGTTGAATTCAAGTGATTGTGTCATTAAATCATCATATTTTATATACAAAATTATTTGATAATATTAAAATATATATAAATGAAGTATTGAACTTTAATTCAAATCAAATAAATTTTCTCAAACAAATATTTCATAAATCTTTTAATCGCTGACGAAAAAAATTCTGATGAATGAGCTTCGCTAGGCTTATTTCCAGGCTGGACGTTTCTTTGCAACACACTGGTAATCACTTTCAACCCTGGCCCTGTGAAACAAATAGCAATTATAATTATATAGACTAGACCATTTTAAAATTATTTACTGCCTCTTCTCCAGATAAGTTGCAAAAGCAAGGAAGTAAGGTCCACAACTACAATTCGACAACAGCAATCATGAGATTGGCAGACTACTACGAGTTATTGGAGAGTTTGACGAGTGAAGATTGTGATGGCACAACTGCATCGCTGAAGTGTATTCAAGAGAAATTCCCTAAGTATGAAAATATATAAAACTTAACTAACCTAAACTAAAAACTAACCTAACTAAAAGGCTGTAACACTAACAGTTGATTGTATCATGACACAAGTCAGGTTGAAAGAAACCGTAAAAATTCTAAGTTTGTTGACATCCCATACCGTAATTCTATCGAGTTGTGTATTATTTTAACCGTTTATCTAACTCCAGGGAGCTCCAACGCCGATCCCTTTGGCGTTGGAGCTCCCTGGAAGCTGGAGTTCCCATTTATCATACTGAGAGTGAGAGTGAGATGGCTTTGACTTTTTAATTGACCTTTGTATTCTACTAAAATTTAAACCTTACACTTTGTTTTGACTTTCGTTCAAATTCTGGTTTAACAACGGAACTGGGCAGTTTCACATCATGATTTAGAACCAGGTTTGGGTTTAACTGAATCGGCAGAATATAAATACGGACCATGATGACAATTGATGATGTTTTCTTTCAGTGAGGAAAACCATAAGTCGTGACTTAAGTGTAGATAAACTTGATGTTGATCTATGTTACAATCTAGACTTAGAGTCTATACTATTTTATAGGCCCTAGATTTTATGTTTGTGAAGAGCCTGAGGCAGCAAATATGCTGAAATATGCAGTTTAGCATGCCACAACATTAATGTCTTATCATTTCTAGTGACACAAAAACAAGCCAGAGCTAGATTAATTTCAACATTTTCTTTTTTCGCTTGATGCCTTAAGGCTCAAAGAATCCTTAGTGTTTTTGCGAATTCATATTTCACATCGCAACAAAAGTTAGTTGTTTTTTTTTTACTTCTTCTTTTCAAAGTAAGAATTTGTTATATGTAGATTAATTAGCCTTTTTTTTTTTTTTTGCTTTTTGGGTGAAAATTTTAAAAGGGGGTAGGAGGAATTTAAAAGTGCACTTAATTTCCATTATCATATTGTATGGTTGATATGGTAAAGAAAAAGTACAACATGAAATAAATAATATTCTTCTTTTGTGTCCTCAGAAGTTTGGCATATTGCTTTTTGTTGTCGTTTTAGGTCTTGTTCATGTGGGATACTTTTGTTCTTCTTTTTTCTTTCTTTTTTATATATTGTTGTTGTTTCAGGTTTTTTCTTCTTTTATATAGTATGTATAGGCTTTTAACCTGGGCTTAAACTTCAATAAAGATCACATTTAAACTGTATGCCTGTCTATTTTAAATGCAGTATACTTTTTAGGCAGTATGCATATCAATGTTTTTATTTGTTCATTTTCAAACCCTTGCAGTGTGTCTCATTCAACTCTGGTCAGCATCTACTCTCAGCATTGTCAGGTAAACCTCCACAAAGTTGTGATTTGGGAGGAAGAATCACCAACAAATAAATTCCTCTGTATTTGGGGGATATTCCATTCCAATATCTTTACTTCAAGATATCAGCTTGAATTTAAAGGAAAATTGCAAGTTTCAATACTTCCAAATGAAAGTCAAAGTGACTTGCAACAAAAGTGCAGAGGATTTTACTGTTATTTGTTATTCCTTCCTAACTCTTCCTCCCTTTGAAAGAAAATTATTCATAATAATAATGTAGTATTTATTTCCATAGAAAAGCATATACAATGTAACAATATAACAATACAAAATAAGATAACAAGGAATCTTTCCTTCACATAGTGAATAGACATATTATAAAGACGTGAAAATCGTGGCCCAGGACGTTGACATTACTCAGGCAGGACCTAACATGTAAACATATACATACAAACATATATACTTGTTCTAAGATCATTAGCAGTCAGAAGTATCAGTTATAGTATGAAAAATTAATTATGGGGTTCGTTCAATCTAAAAATATAATAATATTTATGTAATGTAGAACGTAATGGTAAAGTTTGGCGGAGAAGGAGGATGAAGTGGGAAAAGGGAGGAAGAGAGACATAGCAAAGGAGAGAGACGGAGAGAATGAATTTACAACAGATTTCTTAATTGCATCTCACGGAGAATAAGCTGTATCGTATTATACACACATTTGTTATAAAAGTTGACTTATCATTATTTAAAGAGTTCTCATGAATTTTGTAGTAAAAAGATTTTCCCTCGCAATAACATGTGGAGTTTGAGGTTTACAGTGTTATGTAAGACCTGTTAGGTAAATACATTGTAGAATCTGAATATTAAAAAGAGAATCAATTTACATTTTTCTTACATATTAGTTCTTGTTACAAATGATAGCCAATAATAAAGAAATCAATGCTCACTATAATATGCAAAGATATATCAAGTACATCGTCAGGACATACCCTGCTGCAATTTGGTAACCTTGTATAAGTCTTGAAGGTGAGTACATGACTCTAACTGCATTCAATTATGCTCAATGTTGTTGCACTACAATATACAGTGCGTCCCAGAAAAAACGAAACCGAGAAGTATCAATGTTTTATCATAACTTAATCACAACCATAATTAATGAATGATTCATATTTGGAAAGCTGAGAGTCTCCTCTTTCAGTTGATGCTACTCACGTGATGCATATTTCACGCATGAGTGATTAAAAGCAATTTGAAGGAAGGAAACCAAAAAGTAATTTGGCGGGCGGTATCTGAATTTCAAAGAAAAATTCATATTTCTAGAAAGTTCATTTTCTGCCCTTTCATATGACACCTCAATCAAGAAAAATGAGCCAGGAATAACAAAGTTCTGTTTGTTTAAAGTAGCCCTTACATTTTCATAATTTTAACAAATGAAATCGTTTTCACTGGGTGCCTGCCGTAGCAAAAAGCAGATTTGACAAAAGACTTAACTCCGTTTCGTTGACAATCAGCCATGCATGAAGACTCTCGTCTGTAATTTGTTTTAAAAAGTGCATGATGCAATTATTGCAAATTTGCAAAAACTGGTAATTGTTTACTTTTCATGTTCTTATCCAGATGATTACCAGGCAGACGTACCATCAACATAATAACCCTGATATGATCTCCTACTATGTGCAGGTGTAAGTATTCTATGTGTTTCTGAGAAAATCATATTCATTTCTTGAACTTGGTAATGTATCACTACAATAAACTACTGTATATGGTACAATTCAATCCTAAACTAAAGACACTTCTTCAGCACTGCTTGGTCTGACAACGATTTCAAAATGTTTTCAATATCATACTTGTAATCGGACAGATAGATGGAATATAAACAATTTTGGCTGTTCTTTTACAGCTGATGGTAATCTGTACGTAATAAACTTTCTGAAGCTTTCAAAACTTGTAAATCGTAGGCGTAAATTTATTTGTATGTTTTGTTATTATCAAAGTTGGCTAAGAGTGAGACAAAATAAACCAATAGAAAAATGTATCTTTTTTTCACCAAAACGATGAGCTAACTAATCCCTTGCCATTTTGGCCTATTTTCCACAATTTTTTTTTCCTAAACATCCCTCTAGGGGACATATGGAGGTTTGACCAACCTTAAGCTTGGCACATGCACTAGCTGTGTATGATTGTAAATGCTCTCAAGTCTTTATTTTTTTTCTCTGAAATCTGTAAGTAGCTATATATCTTTTTATAATTTCAGGTACCAAGCCAGGATTAAACAGGATGACAGTTCACCTGTTCTCATACAAATGGCAAAGGAGGTAAATTGTTTAATTTCATGCAAATTTCTTGTGATGATCCCTGTTTAAAGGTAATACAAAGTTTTGGGAAATTTTGAAAATTGGGTAGATAGTGAGTCTTTACAACTTTGATATATTTGGATGCCCCTGTGGATGTATTATAAGCACCAAAAAAATTAGCCCCTAAAACACTTCTGTTCTCGAGAAAAATTTAATATAAGAATTTACCGGTGCTCCCGGTAAATTTTGATAAATTTCAAATAGCGCCTATGGCCGTACAATAGTAGCTGCGACAATGAAAATCTCAGAATATGTAGTTGGGATTATTAATTTCCAAACGGAAATAGCTAATCGGTCGATTTTAGTCAAGAAAGTTTGTTTCATTGCTAAATTAATATTATTGACCTTGAGAGGGAGCTATACAACATAATGAGTTTATTATTTATAATTTCATAACTTTAGACTCGATTTTATCTGCAACAATGATCAATGTATATTGTAGGATCGCATATGCTTCCAATATGTTAATTTGAACCAAATTCATGACCCCATACCAAAACCTTGTAATACCTTTAATGCCCAAAATTGATTAGATACTAACTGCTGTTTTGTTTGTTTGTTGTTGTTGCTGGGTTGTTTTGTTTGTTTGTTTGTTTTGGGTTTTTTTTTTTTGGGGGGGGGCGGCATTGGGGTTACAAGACAAGTTAAGAGTAGTATTGCAACATCAATCAAATGAATAGAATGCTTATGTGTCATGAAATGTTGTATTTATGTGATATAAGTGTACACTTAAATTGAATCCATACTATTACCTTGTATTTTTTCAGAAATTCACATGTTACATAATACTGTAGATGTCAGAAATGTATAGTTACTTTTGTTTTTAAAAGATTAGTGATACATAACATCATCTGAGCAGCAGCGACAAACCAACTTGATGGGCCTATTTGAGACTCTCCTTACAAGGACTGCTGGTGTTTTGCTTTTGAACTATGGATTGTGTTATTGTTGATTTTTCAAAAAAGATTAAAAATGCTACAGCTGTCCCTTGAAATTCCATACTGCATACGTTTGATTTAGAATCTAATAACAGAAATTGTGTTTGCTTGTAAGTTCCTTTGTCTTAACTTCACCCCCCCCCCCCCTCTCTCTCTCTCTCTCTCTCTCTCTCTCCCTCCCTCCCTCTCTCTCTCTTTCTCATTTCCCCCCTTATTTCTCCCTGGCTGTGTCATCACACCCTTTCTTCATTTCTTGCCTATTCAGGCCAATATGCCTCCAGCTGTTATAGCAAGATTTGTTGTGGAAGGTTCACATGAGAAAGCCTCGAATCAAGAAGGTATGTCATTGTGCACCCATTCCACTTTCAATAAGAAAAAAACTTTTAAAGATGCAAGACATATTATCAATGTTGTACCGGTAGAGTAGATGAGTGTTATATAAGTGAAATTCTCTGTAAAAGACTAATTGTAACTTTAGCTCACTTATTTTTCTGTTCATTTAGCTGATCATTACATATTGTCTTGATAAAATGATAAATTAAACCAACTAGATTCATTTGATTGCATTAGTTTGTTATTTGATGAGTGTGATTTTAAATTTTGGGTTACCATATAGCTTACTGTCATTTTCAATAGTTCTTCAAATTCAAAGTGAATATAAAAATCATAATAAACATAAGCTGATTTGTAGCTCTGACATGGTTTATTATGGAAGAAAATTAGATAACTCTGTAATACAATCATAATGGATTATATAAAGATGATGATAACACTTGTATTTGTTTTTAAAAAAAGCTGTTTACCAAGTTTAATCATGTTATGGATTGTAGTGTCTTCATTATACATATTCTACAAAGACAGAAATGTTACTAGTTTGGTAATTAATGATATTTAAATATCACTGCCAAATAAATATTTTGTTCAATTATCTCTTGACAAATTTTTAAAAAAAGAAGACAAGGTTTAAATCTAAATACATCTATACCCCCCCCCTTCCCTTTGCAATCTCATGCAGTTACCAAGTCTACAGTGACTCAGTTTCTGAGGGAACCCTATTTGATTGAAGACCCGGTGCTTGCCTACCAAGTGCAGCTTGTAAGTATAGCCCAGTTGCTGGCATTTGATGTGTGAATAGTCAATAGATCAGTAGAATGTGTTGATCACTGTGATAGATGGACAAAGTATATTAGACATCTTGAGACTTGAGACATTGATGTATCCACATAGTGACAGGGTAGTCATGCAGTCTCCCATAGGCATATAGATACATGTACAGTGATAACTGCCAGAGTCTTTGCATGCCTCTTTTCTTTTAAATTCTGTGATCCACCGCTAATGATGGTAATTTGACTATCGTAGCAGAAATGAACATTCATTGATAGAATTTCAATGAAATACGTTAAATGTGTAATATTTATGTAGAAAGCTTTACAAACTTGGGAATTGAATATGTATTTTTTTTTTTTTTTTTTTTTTTTTTGGGGGGGGGGGGGTTCTTTTTTGTTTTAGTTTGTTAATCCAAATTTGTTTTCTATCAAACACAATATTCATGTACCATTTAAATGAAGTTTCTAATAAATACATACCTATATCTATGTTTCTCACAGTGCACTCTACAAGACGTCACATATGGACCTTATGCAGAAAGCATTAAACAGTATCCTTTGCATATTTTATCTTTTTTTAAGGCAGATTTTTGTATCACAAGTCATAAAATAATTAACCGTTCTTGTATAGCGCATAACACATAGTATTAAAACATGTCCCTAAGCGCTCTAGAGAAAAACACAACAAAATACAAAGACAAGATGTACTGGGTAACAGACAAAATGTATGAATTAAATGTTAAATAAGTGCGTCTTTAAAGCAATCTTAAACTTAACAATGGAGTCAATGTTTTTTAAATGTTCCGGGAGATTGTTCCATAAATAAGTCTGTGATGCTTAGACTCTTGATACATGATACTCGATGGAGTAATCCCTTTAGCAGCTCACTCAGGAAGCTGTACTGAGTTGGTAGGTGAGGCGAGTAGTTGCAAGGAGTGCGATGAAGTGCAGAATTGGTGTGTAGACAGAGCATTATCAATGTACAGTCAAATATGTCCAGTGCAAGTAAAATAGTGAACCAACCCCTTCATTCTGATTCTCTCTCCCTCTATCTCTCTCTGTCTCTCTCTCTCTCTCTCTCTCTCCCTATCTCTATGCCTCTTTTTAGCTCTCTCTTTCTCTCTGCCTCTCTCTCTCTCTCTCCGTTTTTATTGAATATTGTCTCAAATCTCATTGTGACATCTGATAATGTCAAACCTTACTTTGCATTGACTTACTTTCCTTGAGTCACACTCTTGCCAGCTCTGTGGGAAATGAGTATGAATTCCTCTTGGTACAACTGCTGAAGGAAAGAAAAATAGCATTCCTCCGTAAGTATCAAACCCTTTCTCCTGGTTTATCATTTTTGAAGGGGATTTTTACTGTATCCGGGTCCCAGTTAGGCCACTTATACTTTTTATAAATTACATACATGTAAAGTCAAAATATTAAGTGCTTTCTAATGAAATCCATTTATTTGACAGGCATGGAATATGTATTTTTGTTGTTGTTGTAGTTTTGTTTTGGGGGTTGGTGGTTAGAAATTTGTATGTTTTATTTTGTTTGGATGTTGCAACTCTTTTGCCAGAAAATACTACCATATTATCAGAGTTATGATATCATTTCTTTTCTATGGTTTAATGTTAATTGGAAAAAAAGTCTGAAATCTCCCATTTCTGTTGATGCCTAAAACATGAACACATTACAGCCAATGAAAAATGCATGTGCTCACTAATGCATCACACATGAATAGGATTCTGGATGCTGAATAAAACCTTTTTGTTTGCCAAGGTAGCATGCATGCTGCAGTTTAGCAGTCGTGGAAAGAAATATTATGAACATTTTATTTGAGTGTCAGGCCTGTAGCACCAGTGATATATTTTCAGCACAACTAGCTTTTGAGCAGTCTTTCTTGTCACCAAGCACTGTTAGTGTAATACTGCCCTCTTGAGATCAGAAATTGTCAGATTAGACAGGAAATAAGCAAACTGGTTCTGATAGGACAAGGAGAAGAGAGACAGATGACGGACAGAGGTAGAGAGAGAGAGAGATGAGAGAGAGAGAGAGAGAGAGAGAGAGAGAGAGAGAGGGGGGGAGAGAGAGATAGGAGGAAGGAAAGAAGGAGATGAGAAAATGTGCTCATTCGTATTGGTGTATGATTTTCATTGAGTGTAGTAAGGATCTATACACAAACAAATGGAGAAGGAAGAGAAGAAAGAGTCAGCTTTAAAGGGATGAGAAAGGGAGATCCAGCAATGGTAGAGATGGTGCAAATTGAGTAAGATGGAGTATGTCAGTGGTTGTTAAGATGACAAACAAACAATACCCCCATACAACAGAAGGGCTTTGATTATTCTAATTAATAGACAGGCATGATTCAGGGAGGGGGTGGAATCAGAGAATGTCTTCAAAGAAGAATGGTGTAATGAAGACAAATCAATAATGAATTGTGAGATAGCAGAGATTCTCAAAAGGTCGGGCCACATTTAGCCAATTTCTATTCTGCTCATTTAAGGAGATATATCTCTTGATTTCAGTTCACTGTGTGTGGAGAGCATTATGAGAACCTAAGTCTTTCAGTTGTAGCTTTACTGAGCAGGTTTTTGTATTTGTTTATTTACGTTCCCTTTACAGAAGAGGATGACATGAGGAAGAAAGGGTATGACAAGACTCCAGATACTAAACTGGAAGTACCAGTAGGTGGGTATATATTTATTTGGATGGATCCTAAAATTTCAGGCCTATAGTAATCCATCTTGCCCTCTTCCTCTCCTGTCTCATTATCTTGTCACTGTCTTTATCTGTTTAACTCTCTCTTTCTCTTTTCTCTCTCTCTCTCTCTCTCTCTCCTGCCACTCCATCTCTTTTTATTTTTTTTCCTTTCTCAGTCCCTCTCATCTCTCTCTCTCTCCCTATTTTGTTCTTATCCTCTCTTTTCTGTTTTCCTCTTTTCTGTCCCCCTCTCTTTTATCTTTTACCTTTTTTTCCTCTTTTTTTCTTTCCCTCTCTTTTTCTCTTTCTCTTTCCACCTAGTACTCTTTCCCTCTCCTTTTCTCAGCCATTTTTTTCTCTACCCCCCCCCCCTACACACACACACACACACACACACAAACATACACCCTCTCCCTTTCTCTCTCTCTCTCTCTCTCTCTCTCTCTCTCCCTCCCTCTCTCTCTCTCTCTCTCTCTCTCTCCTCCCTCTCTCTCTCTCTCTCTCTCTCTCTCTCTCTCTCTCCCTCCCTCTCTCTCTCTCTCTCTCTCTCTCTCTTTCTCTCTCTCCCTTTTTTCTATCTTGAATTTCTTCCATCTTTTTTATCTTTTATCTTTCTATTTCTCTTTCACATCTTTCGTTTATATCTTTTCCTCCCTTGTCTCTCTGTCTTTTCATTTGTCCATCTCTAGCATATGCCTTTTATTTGATTGTGTTTTGATTTTATCCGCCCAATAGATTCTATGTAATATTTATAGAAGAAGTGAGTTATATTTATGCACAAGTCATCAGTAAATTGTTGTATGGAGATAGATGAAGTTTATAATTTCAAGCTTCTTTGGAGAATAGATTGTGCAATAAACAGGTACACTTACTGAGTGTATTCACACAGACGTCTACCTCATGGAGCGTACATTTTAAAACAATGCATTATCAAATCAGAATAACATTTTCTCTTCTCTCAAAACAGCTTGGAATGGCCATATCATCAACTGGATAGAGAGCAAGGCTTCCTTTGGGGATTTGTTCAGCCATAGTAACTATCTCAAAGATCAGTATCTCAGCTATGCCAACAGGTAAAACATCACTTTCTTTTAAAATATATATGGTAATTTTATGCTAAAATATTTTTTATAAATAAAAACAATGTATATAAAATATTTACAGCACAAATTGAACACATGAATAACATAAGAAACAAAGGTTATGAAAACAAAGATAAGTAACATAAGAAGAAATATTATGAATACAATATTGCAAAGTGTAAGAAGAGCCAGCATTTTTGTACTGGCAGCAGATATAGGGGAATATTTTGAAATGGTGGTATGATGTATGAATAGAAATACCAGACACCATACTAATTGTATATCAATTATTTTTGGTTCATTATGTTTTAGGGGAGTGGTAGTTTGAGAGTATAGATTGTTATAAAAACTGCCAGATGATTGATGCATTAATAAGAGCAATGTTCTTGACAAAAACATTATTTCTGAATTGTTTGTGTTTTTGTTTTTTTGTTTGATGATCTCACAATGTGATCTGACAACATCCAGTTGAATATGAAACGGTTCAGTTCAGTTTCTTTGTTAATCAAGAAAGAAATATTCAGCCATTGTCAAGAAAGCTCATGATTTTTCTGTTCAGTCTTACGTACAAGAGCTAGAATATGCCAAATAATATATTATAGTTTGGAATGGGAAAGAATGAGTAAAAAAAAAAAAAGGGGATAATGCAATAAAGAAACATCAGAACTATATATTGATGTTCACTTCGCCTGCGTAGTCTCTCAAATTATGATTCTAAAACAAATTTCAAGGTCATTCAAACTGCCCGACTTTACAAGTGCTCTGCAGTTACAGTAAAATGACAACCTTTTCCTGTTGAAGTAAAAAGAAATTTATAAATGGAGGGAAAGTCGGATTCCAAGCACTTTTTCAAGGAATCCAATTACTACCCAACTGCAGATAACAAAAAGCCAAACTAGTGTGAAGAGCTGTTCCCTAATAGATTTATATCTATCAAAGTCATTGGTTTATCTTCAATGTTTCAGTTAAATGTCAAACTTATACCGCAGAACTTGGGGTTTTTCAGAAAAAATATTTTATTTCCGAGGTCATCTCCAGAAAGCCCTGCACTTTTACAGTTAGGATGTTGTATCCTGAATGTCGCCTTCGACAAAAAAGCGCCATCAATCTTGAGAATTTTTTGTTTTGTTTTGTTTCGACCAAGAGCATTAAGCTTCCACCATTTTCACAACCATCAAGCATGTCATTCATCAATAAAGGAAGATTTCTTCTTCTACTTTTTTTCCATCTGAAATAACCGCCAGGGTGAATCAAAAGCGTATTTTAAGGTAGTTGGCTAGTCACAGGGTCATTCTCTTTCGGAAAAGGGATATCATTTGTGATTCCTTCTTTTCTCTCTTTTTCTCTCAAGTCATTTCTTTAAAGTTTTGAAATGTAATATTGCTTTTTGGTACTCAAGATTGTAAGAAATCTCATTGGTACTCAAAAGAATGCAGTTTTTCCATAAATCTGAATTTTCACAAAATAATTATCCAAGTTCTTTGTTCTCTCATGGAATTTTAATACTGTACAGACATTTCCTGTGAATGCTTAGTAAAGTCAAGTAAAGAGCATATTATCTTATTCACATTAAAATTTGGAGAAAAAAATAAAAGACTAAACGGTTATGTAATTATGTTTCATTTATTTATTATGTATTGGATTTGTTATTATTCTTTATCATTTCTGTAATAAACGTTTTCCTTTTCCAACATTTTTTCTTTCACTTGATATGTATTCTTATTCTTTTTTTATACATATATCCATATTTGTTGTTGTTTTTTTGCTAAAAGAATATTTGTTCATTCTTACATTTCATCCTCTTGTGTATTTCTTACATCCATTTTACCATTTCTATCCTATGTACATTTTCATTTTCTTTTATACATGTTATTTTGCTTATTTGTCCTTCCTCATACTAATGATTCCTACTTTTTCATATTTTTCTCATTTCAATTATTATTTGTTTTTTTCTAATCTCTTTCATTCTTCAGGTTTGGTTCTGGTCTTGTGATCTACTGGCATGGTTTTATAGATGAGCTGGCAGCAGGCTGCATTGAGCAAGGAATCGCCCTAGCTGACCACCTCCCAGAAGACCTTACCCATCTCCAGCCTTGAGACCGCATCATGAGATGAAGGAAGGTCTGATGATGCCATCTTGAGTAAGGATGCATTGTGTTTGCCAAGATTATGCCCTTGTGGCATTGAGGAAAGGAAGATGAGATGATGATGGTGTTACTCACCTCAAAACTCTAAACCAAATCATGAGATGAGATTTGGCAATGTCATCTTGAGTAAGGTGCAGTTTGATATCCAGTGAGAAGTGTATGGAAGAAAGATATGGCTGTATGTGAATGGGACTTGGAGATCATCTTCTGGAAGATTTCACCCATCTCTAGCTTTGTGACAGTGATCATCAGATTGAGGTGCAATGATGCAATGTTGAGCAATGATGCAGTCGAGTATCCATGTTAATACAGTATGGGGATGATGAAAGTGACATTGATTGGGAGATCCTTTGCCAGAAGATCTTACTCACCTTCAGCCTTCAGACTGCATCATGGGATGTATGTTCAATGCAATCTTTAGCAAAGATGCAATGTTTTTTCCAAGATCTTGTAGCATTTAGGAAAGAAGGATGAGATAATAATTTAGATGTTACTCGCCTCCAACCTCAATACCTTGTGAGATTGAGGTTTGATTTGTTTGATGATTTTGTTTGATAATGAATGTTTTACCCGACTGCTAAGAAAGCATGCTTGTAAGTAAACAACCAGGGGACCGACGGCTTTATTCCTCTCCGAGGGACTTGATACTGAGGATTAATGCCTTAGCAAAAGGCACGAGCGCAGGGACTTAGTTTCGAGCCCGGGACCTCCCGGTTACGAGACCACTGCTCTACCACTGAGCCATCGCTCCCCCTCAAGAAGATGCCATCCTGAGCAAGGATGCAATCCGATATATATGGTCACAAAGTATGTTGATGATGAAAGATGTGATATAATTCTCTAGGAGATCATGTACCAAAATATCTTATCTTCATCCAGCCTGACATGAGCAAGGGTGCAGTCTTGTATCTGTGCTAACAAGATTATGTGATAGAGGAAGAAAGATGGAAAAGTGCTTATTGTAATTTATTTGTTATTATCTTATTCTGCAAAGATAAAAGCAAGAAAACAGTGAATTTAAAACAACAGTAACATTTGGAGTGAGTCACATTGATGCCAGAGAAAGAAAATGATTAACTAAATAACTATACCATGATGGTCTTCTTTTCCAATCCATTTGACCTTCCATAAATGATAGCTCAGAATAGCAAGATACAACAACAGAACTAACGGATTGCAAGTATAAGAGAAAAAGAAAAAAGAACAACGAAATAAAGGTGTATTGGAAATCAGAAATATACCATCTTGGATTTTGAGAGATGTGTGTATGTACTGTATCAAATGACACCTTTCATTAAGAATGTACTGGTTGTCATGGTAACTAAGGCAAAATTTTGAGGAATTATATGGGTGAAACAACATTTTGATATATTTCGAGCTCCTACATGTATCTTCTTTCATAGCCATTTACTAATAAATTGATAAAGTGTATGTATCTAACTGCATTGCTTGATCATAGAGGAAGGAAACTGATTACCGGTATTCATTTAATGATGCAGGAACACAAACAAAATAGCAAGTGTTGTACTCTTGTATTTCAGACTTTTTGAAACTCATTTTTGCACAAACCATTTGATATTCTTGATTTAGTAGTAGGCTCAAATCTTCAGTGCAAAATAGAATTTCGATATTAGCTCCTATAATCACAAACTTCCAGATATTTCAATGGGTATAAACAAAAGACTTTTCAGAATTGTTATGATATGACTTAAATGACTAATGAATTCTTGTAAATTCATTGTAGATTGTGCACATCCATTGAAATCTATTGCCACTGTTTCCCTAAGTCAGTTAAAAATGCATTTGTTGTAAACTCAAGTCTAAGGTGGATTTTGTAATGTACAACTTGGACCTTTGTCTAACTTCCTGACTTTAGAAGTAGTATTAAATCAAGCATCAGGTTTAGATTTTTAGTACAGTAAAGGCCATTGTTTATGTGTATAATTATGACCGTGCCAAAGTATGGTGTACAAGAGAAAGCCTAATAAATATTCTCTATTTTTATAAAATATTTGGTGAGCATTTTTTGTATTTCAATATTGAGAGACTTTCCACACATTATGCATCAATACATGTGATATTAATATTAGTAGAATGGACTGGTCCAAGTATCAGTGAAAAGTTGAGTGAATGACATTCTTTGGTGAATATGAGGATAGTTTCATTCTTGAGTGTGTATGTATGTATGTATGAAGACGTTGTAGTATGCTCTGTTGTCGACAGTCATGTTCTGCCGTGTGAGGTCTATGCCAGATGGGAATTTTGAAAGCACAGTTTCAGTTTCCACTAGATGCAGATAATTTTGTAGTATGTCTCTTTTGTTGTCTTTGTTGGGATTCAGGTCCTTAGGATATGTATGTACAATGGAAATATGCAAATAGGATACGATTTAGTTTTCTTCTGTATTACGCTAAAACATGTAAGTAATGATTGAAACTACTTCTGCAGGTAGGGTGCAACATTGGATTTTTGAGACCATCTGACCGTTTGTGAGACAATGTATGATGTTGCAATCACTTCAAAATCACCTTGTGAAAGTGCTGGAAGGCAGAAGGGTTTTTAATGATATGACACTATCTAGAATTAATGCTCTTCATGCTCTAACTTTTAAGCAGACAATAAAAATATACCTCTTAAGTGTATTACCAGTGATATCATCCCCCCAGCCCCCCCCCCACACTTTTCTCTCTCCCTCTCTCTTTCTCTTTCACACACTACACTCTTGTCTCTCTGCATGCCTGTGCATCTTTCTCCATCTCCTTTTCTCTATCTTCTTCTCTGCCCCTCTACTTTTCTCCCTCTCTCTCTCTTTCTCTCTCTCTCTCTCTGCTCTCTTTCTTTCTCTCTCTCTTGCTCTCTCTCTCTTATCTTCTTCTCTCTTCCCCTCCCCTCTCTCTCTCTCTTTCTCTTTCTCTCTGTATTCATCTCTTTGTCTCTCCTTTTCTCCTCCCCCTCTTTCTCTATCTTCTCCCTGGTGTATAATCGGCTTTCCTCTTACAACCATGTTTCACATGTTCTCAAAGAGAGCTGGGTAATTAAAATCATCCATATGTTCACCGTGCAAGAAGGGAAGCACACACTGGAAATATTTAGCCCAACTGTTGCTCTTAAATCGGGTTTGTTCAAGTACGGGCACTGTAATTTTAGGAATGCCCTATTTCTTTGACCATCGCACAAATTTGCTTTTGGGGGATTTGTGCCCTTATTATCACCAAATATTCTCAACATACATGTATATAAACATAATCATGTGCAATCCATGATCTTTACTAACAGCAGATTGGCGACACTTATTTTATGATATTAGCAATAAAATATCAGAGTAACTTTCAGTGTCACTCCTTAATATTGTGTAACAGGAGTTGTGGGCGGAGATGGGGATATGCTATCATTTTTGCAAACGGCAGCAATATATGAATGAATGGAAATTTGATATCTAAAAAATGCATTTGAATTTCCACACTCTAGCTACAGTGACAGCACTTGTGGAAGAAACTAGACGAGTCTCTAACTAAAGTACCACACCCACCCTTTTGAGGTTTTTTTTTTGTTGGGGGGGGGGGGTTCTTTTTTTCTTCTTCTTTTTTTTTTTCTTCCTTAGTTTAGATTCCTCGTCATTGATGACTAGGAACATGAGTAGCTATCTTTGATGAGAGATTGAAGCAAAGACCATCCTTGAAGTGTGAGATGACATACAGATGTCTGAGTAACAAGTCCACATATTGATAGAGAGAAAGGAGAGAAAAGTTTGCTCAATACGGAGACAATGGCACCGCAGTTTAGCCGTGTGTACCTTCGTAATCGATCCTTGTCATTAACTAACCCAACAAAATGCTTCCATATATATTTTTTCTTCTCCCTCTTTCGTCGATGGTAGCTCTTTCTTGAGTTCACAAGTAGGATATAAGCGTGCCCGTGTCAATTTAGGGACCACTTACATGCAGTTCTTGACTCAGCTGCGATAACACGGGCAATGGTAGCGCGTGGCCCCATGTTTGCGGTTCAATGTCATTTTGCTCTCATGCTAGTGAGAGTCAATATTTTATCAGGAAGAGGAAACTTGTTTGAATTGCGTGAACTGATAGCCATGATCGAGAGAATAGAAAGCATTGACATTTTCCTTCCTTTTTCATGTCCACTGTATGTATGATTTCCGTTTCCTTAATATCGAAATTTGAGCTAATATATAGAGACGTTTCGATTTTTAGCTTAAACGCGCCCGTGTTTGTCACATCCCCGGTCACATCCGAACATTTAATAATCAGATGGATGAAAACGGAGATGGGGGCGGCTGAAACGGGAGTCGATCGTCTGTTGCTCACGTACTAATTTCAAACCATACGTTGGGGCACAGGGGTTGGTGCCCTTTACTTAATAAAAAATAATATTTTGTTTTGGGAGGTGTGGGAAAAATATCCGTGTTGTTTTGTTGTTGGTTTTTTTAATCTGTAATAAGCTAAACTGTAGTTATCTTTATTTGTTGGAGTAAAGTATTGGACATTGCTAAGTAAAAGAAAAAATGGGAAAGGGAGAAAGTGGTGAAAATAGCTCCCATCAAGACCAGCAACCCCCTTTTCATTTCCACTAAACTTTCTGGTTATGCCATTGACGATAAAAAGTTAATCGCATGATTAGCTTATTGTTTGTGTAGCTATTTCAAGAGAGCCGCTCTTTATTAAATTCGATAATTAAAGCTTCCCAGATCGCCCACCATTCATATTGGTCAGGAAAGGCTCACAGTGGAAATGCAACGAAAATTAAAGCTGTGAATAGAAGCATTAAAGGATGTATCACGACTTGGATTGCGATATACAGTTCCAAAGTAATTCTGCCACTTCGTATATAATGATACATTGTATGTAACTCATTCGTGAACATGTTAACAAAAAACAATCTCCCTGTCAAATCCGAGCGAGTCTATTCATGCACAAAGTGGTCCTACAAATTATCAATGAACTCTGCCATCTGTTGATAATTATTATGAGCTGATAACTTCATGTTTCGTCGAGGATTGTGAAATACATTGAAGGCGTAGATTGATCACGTGATCAAAATTCGAGAGGATAGACTCATCTGAATGATTGAATTAAATTGAATTGTGTTTATTTTCTTCTGCAGCATACACATCAATTTACATTTCATGACTATCACGTGATAGACCGTGGGGGGGGGTGATTTTTTTAAACTAGTGATGGTGATGATTTGATAGTGATGATGTTGTTGATGATAATGATGATGATGAAAATGAAAAAAATATGTAGTTGAAAATAATTAGGCCTATGTCTGACACAGAAGACAGAGTGCATAAGGCCTAACAACAACAAAAGGTGTTATATTGCCCTTTGCGACCGATTACTTTTTTTTTTTTACCGTGTCTTAGAGGGAAAAAATATTAAAGCATTAATGAGAAATATCAACCCAAAGAAGGAGAAAAAAAAAAGGAAAAAAGATATAACAAAAACG